AATCATTTAAAAGTTGCCAGGGTGGTACCTGTATACAAATCCGGGAATAAAGAAGTCATATCTAATTATCGCCCCATATCAATACTTCCCTGCATTTCTATTATTTTTGAAAAATTACTACTCAAGCGACTCAAATCTTTTCTTGATAAAAACTCAATCTTGAATATTGACCAGTTTGGTTTTAGAAATGGACATAGCACATCACACGCGATTTTAGATATTGTTAGCCAATACTATAATATTATAGAAGAGAATTTACTAGGTTGTAGTGTCTTTTTGGATCTCAAAAAGGCATTTGATACTGTCGATCATAATATTCTAGTTAGGAAATTAAATCACTATGGAATTCGTGGAATTGCAAATAAGTTGTTTAAAAGTTACCTTCAGGATAGAAGTCAGTTTGTGTATTTGTCTGGTTTTGAATCAACAAAAGAAAGACTATCTGTTGGGGTCCCTCAGGGCTCTGTACTCGGTCCCACTTTGTTCCTGATCCACATAAATGATGTTGTGAATGCTACAGAATCCTTAACCAAACTTTTTGCCGATGACACCAGCAATACGTCCACTGCAAAAAATCTGACCGCCTTGGAAAAAAGGGTTAACGGGGATTTACATAAATTATCAGAATGGCTTACTAAAAACAAGCTCACTGTTAACGCTCAAAAGACACAAGTCCTGTTGATAAATTGTAACAGAAACCTAAGAAACTCAAAATTCACCCCCAAATTTATCTTAAATAACACAATACTGAATACCTGTGACTCCGTTAAGTACCTTGGAGTCATTCTCGACAATAACTTAAACTGGCACATGCATTTAGACCTTCTTGCAGGCAGGTTGTCAAGAACTATTGGCGCAATGACCAAATTAAGGCATTTCGTACCAAAAAAGATATTGCGATCCGTTTATTTTGCTTTGTTTTACTCGCACCTACAATATGGAATTGTGGCATGGGGCTCAGCATATCAGACTTATCTCAGAAGAATTACTGTGCTCCAAAACCGCGCTTTGAGGCTAATGAGTGGCTCATGTTTGAGACAACGCCTCAGTCCAGTATATAAACAACTAAACATTTTAAAACTTGAAGACGTATATAAATTTGAAATAGCTAAAGTGATGTTTCAGTTCAATCACGGTATGTTGCCAGAAGTTTTCAACAGCTATTTTACTAGTTGTAGTGAAGTCCATGGACATAACACTCGTCTAGCAAGTAAAGGTGCCTATTTTGTCAACAGGACTAGCTCAAGTGTATCCCACAATTCCATTAAAAATATGGGTCCAAGTATATGGAATAGCATTCCCACCGATATTATAGAATCATCCTATAGCACTTTCAAATATAAATATATGCAACATCTAATCGATAAATACTGAATGTATTAGTTTATCACAATCTGTTGTTCTATATAGCATGGCCACTGTGCTATTTATGAATTCGTTTGCACTATTTACCGGTAATACCTTATCTCAGTTAATATTAGATAATATAGCAGGGCCTTCGTTCACCGTTACTGGCCTTTTCAAAGTTCTCCTTGTGCTTGCCAAATAGAAATCTACTCCAACTATAATAGTCATGTTTCATAGTGCTACATCTTTTTTCATCTGCAAACCTACCCCCATAGTTTCTGTTATCATCCGACTACTTCTTTCCAAAAATGTCACAATTTTATGGATTTTCGAGAGTCACTCTGGCTTCCTCAGCAGTAATGGATATGTGGATATCTGCCTATTAGAATTCATGGTTGAGCTCAATTGGTATATCGTTGCATTCTACTAAATATTAATCTATTAGATCATTCTGTTCCAATTATTAAAACTTATTAAATTGCTTCCATGATAAGTTCAGTATACGAGTATTGCTTTTTGTACATTCAACTCATTTATCCATGTCAAATTTGGCGTTGCAAATGCCCACTGGCACTTATATTTTTATTTTTAAGACATTGATGGTACTTTACTGTTAAATATCATTTTTGTACTTGCAGTCCCCCTAGTTCATTATTCTTGTTTATTATTTACACAAATATATATTTTTTTGTAACCTAGTATTGTACTATGGCACTTTATCAATCATGCCCACATAGATTTGTCAACGGTAGATATAATTTCTTTCACATTTCTATTTTGTGGTTTGACATGTAACGTAAATAGTTGCCTTTCTAAGTCAAAAATATGAATTATTTTGCAATTGTATCTTTTATCGTGACTCACAAATCCATATAATGTTTCATTAAATTTGTGATGAAATTCAAAACAACAAACTGTTGTTTCTCTTGCACTTTTAATTTTCCCATTGCTGAATTATGTTTGCACTACCATATCTATCTAAATTAATATAAATTGAATGTAAGGGTGATCTCTTCTCCTATATTGGCCCATCTGTTGGAGGAAGTAGGAACTTCGTTTTCTCATCTGTAGACAGGGCTAAACAGACACACACAGTCTGCTGATTGGAATAATAGTTTATTTATCCATATTCATATATTGAGTACTATTTGTGCATTTGCAATACTGTCATCCGATTTTGAGGCTGCAACCTTGCTGAATTAAATAATAGTTTCTTTTATCCAAATATATATTGCAAACTATTTGTTTTTTTATGCCAAAAATGCATTTTTTGCGGGGATGAACCTTGCTGTTTGAAATAATAGTTAATTTATTCGTATTCATATATTGATTACTACTTGTGTATTTGCAATAACTGACTGCCTTAATTTTGAGGCTGAACTATTGTGAATTTGGATAATATTTTATTTATCCCTATTTACATATTGAGTACTTGTTGTGGATTTGCAATAACTGCCATCTAATATTAAGGCTGAACCCTTGCTGATTTGAGTAATAGTTTATTTATATTCATTCATATATTGAGTATCACTTTGTCTATTTGCAATAACTGCCATCTAATATTGCAGCTGAACTCTTGCTGATTTGAATAATAATTTATTTATCCATACTTATATATTGAGTACTATTTGTGCATTTGCAATAACTGCCATGTAATATTGCAGCTGAACTCTTGCTGATTTGAATGATAGTTTATTTATCCATATATTGAGTTTATTTGTGCATTTGCAATAACTGCCATCTAATATTGAGGCTAACCCTTGCTGAATTGTATAATAGTTTATTTATATTTATTCATATATTGAGTACTACTTTGTCTATTTGCAATAACTGCCATCTAATATTGCAGCTGAACTCTTGCTGATTTGAATGATAGTTTATTTATCCATATTCATATATTGAGTACTACTTTGTCTATTTGCAATAACTGCCATCTAATATTGAGGCTGAACTCTTGCTGATTTGAATGATAGTTTATTTATCCATATTCATATATTGAGTACTACTTTGTCTATTTGCAATAACTGCCATCTAATATTGCAGCTGAACTCTTGCTGATTTGAATGATAGTTTATTTATCCATATTCATATATTGAGTACTACTTTGTCTATTTGCAATAACTGCCATCTAATATTGCAGCTGAACTCTTGCTGATTTGAATGATAGTTTATTTATCCATATTCATATATTGAGTACTACTTTGTCTATTTGCAATAACTGCCATCTAATATTGAGGCTGAACTCTTGCTGATTTGAATGATAGTTTATTTATCCATATTTATATATTGAGTATTTGCAAAAACTGCCTTTCCTTCACATCATAAATTCATCCATATTCTTTATATTGAGAAACATTTTGTGCATTTGTAAAATCTTTCGTTTTTTTTGAGAGGTTGACCCTCGCTACTTCAAATAATGTTTATTTATCCAAATTTCCACTTATATATGAGGGCTACTTGTATATTTGCAAAAACTGCCTTTTATTTGTCAGGCTGATTTATTGCTGCTCAAAATAATAGTCATCGTTTACCTATTTAAATATTGGGTTTAAGTTTTTAATAGGCCACAGTTGTTGTCTTGTTTGAAAGGCTTACTAATAATAGTTATTCAACCTAAATTGTATTTATATATATGACTATCGATCGTATGTTTACCAAAATTGTTTCTTAATTGGGGTATATAATATTTTTTCAGTCACCTATTTGCCATAAATTTTTCTTGTTACTTATCGATTTTAATCGGTAAGTATGTTGATAGGTATTTGTCTGTCTGTCTGTTAGATGCACGCGATATCTCACGAAAACGAGTTCGAATCTGCTCCAGATTTTTCATGTGCATTCATCATATCTCGGACCAGAAGCCTATTGATTTTGGGCGAAGTATATCGTATAATTAGCGAGTTATTAAACAATAGTGATGGGACACAAGTTGTCACTATGGAGTAAGAGCGCTTTTTTGGGGGATCCCCTGACTTTTGATCGATAAGTCCTCGGTCTCTGACCGATATTCTCGTTGGAAGGTTGATTCCTCTCTTGAACCAATTGTTTTACACGAGTACCATGTTGTTTATCTACTGAAATTCATTCGTACATGTAAGGCTGGCTCCTTGCGTCCAAATCTACATTGAGTATAGTAGTCCAATAGCCAAAATTGTTTTTTTTAATTTGTGGGTCTTACTCCTCACTTTCAAATCTCATCATTTAAAAATTGATTTCACGGAAAAAAATTAATTACTTTTATTTACTTCATTTTTTTTTGTTTGTTTTTTCAAATTTTGTGTCGTGAACTTCAACCATTTCTAATAATCTTATTTTACTGTGAATTTATCAGCGTAAACTTGGAGGGGGCTGACTTCGATGACCGCATGGTCGTATCGCTCCTTCCAGTCTACACCGAAAAAAGCGTACTTTTTTATAGCCACTATTTATTTATTATTATGACTGTTTTTTTCTGGTTGACGAATAAATCTCTCTCTCTCTCTCTCTCTCTCAAAAGACGGACAACTCACCAGGCCTCTAGGTAGTCGAGTTGTCTCTGGTGAGCTGTCCGTGTAGTCGAGTTGTCCGCCTCCCCTACCACGTACTGCAGGACTGTCTGATTTGACAAATTTACAGTTGCTTAATCACCAATCTGCCAATGCGAGCGCCAATGTTTCTGTTTTATTGAACCAAATATCTTGGAATTTGAATACTGTGCCCTACCGCAAGTCTGCAGTACCATGGTGAATAAGGAATATAAATCTGTAAGTAGGCCTATATCAGTATATATAAAAAAGTGCACAATGTTAATAATAATCCTCTATTGTACTTATATTTAAGAATGAACTAAACTAGCCTACTTTTTGAGTTGAATTCTGAAATTGGTGTTTCATTGCTAAATTGAGTGTTGTGCCTGTGTGTCACCATAACTCAATCACAATACTTTGATATGGATAGGCCATGTCTTTGGAAAGACCCTAATGCTGTTGCAATAAGCAAGGAAGAATCTCTTACATCCATGAGAGACTGCAAACATGCAGCTCATGCAATGATTTACAGTTTCTCTAGCAAGAGTTTATTTGGACGCATACCAATGCAACATAACATTCTAATAACGATGAGGTTTGATGGTACTTTTGGATTTCCTGGAGGTCTAATTAATAATATAGAAGGCTCAGAAAGCATTGAAGATGGACTTAATCGTGAATTAAGAGAAGAAATCAATTTGGATTTAAAATTTTTTATGACCGAAAATGAATATTTTCGTTCTTATCTTCAGACCCTAGGAAAAGGAAAATTGGTCAATCACTTTTATTTAAAACAAGTATCCGAAAGTGAATTTTTTGATATTGAAAAACGTTGTATTGATGCTGGTGATTGGGGCACAGAAACGCTAGGTATTGTGCGTGTTCCTGTTCAAGAGAAAGCTGGTTATCATCAAAAAAATTCCCCAATTGTGAACTTCTTACGTCATAATTTTGTTGGGAATGCAAAGCAAGAACTCGTTGAGGGAATGATAAAATGTGATATTTTTTCACATGACGAAATGCTGAAAATATGGAAGATGTCAGGGAGAGTAAAATAATTTTCTAGCTTGTCTAACGTTAGATGAAGTTTCACATAATTTTAAGTATAATTTCACACAATTGAACAAGGCTTTGAAAAAGCAGTCACTGATGATAAGTTCATACCGGACCTCATTCTTTTTTTAAATATAAAATATATCTCGCATATGATTTTCATTGTGGAAAATTGAAAGCTAGAGTTATAAATGAGTTTTATATTATTATGAGAGTATTCTGCACTTGGAGTAATTATTCCCTAAACCTTTATATGGTTACTTAGAACTCACTGTATTTTTTGTTTACCGATATGTTATTGGTGATTTTGTTTGCTTGTGACATTCTAAAGATTTCAGTTTCATTCCTTGTTCTCTGCATTATTGTTTTTTCCATTATTATTATTTATTTACATTAATTACTTTACATTCTACTATTCTATAACTTTTGAAAAATTTACGAATTTGTTTTTAGAGAGTTAGGTAATAAAATTGTAATTGTTGTTTTTATTTGTATTCCTGTAAAACACTTTTTGTTTTATTTCTGAGTTTGGTACAATCAAGCAACTATTTTCAAATTTGAGGAAATCGCAAATGTTAACAAACCAGTTTGATTTGTATCATCGAACAAAAAAAATTTACAATTCATGTTATAGCCTATCTTTGTGTGTGACATTCATTATTAAATAGTATATGAGGTGTTTATAAAGTCCTGTTACAATTTTCAAAATTTTTATAGGAAATTATTACTTACCTTATAATTCGACGCATGAAATCCAAATTGGGCTAAGTCCATTTTTCTAGTTTTGAGAAAAACGCAAAAAACGTTTTTTTTTTGTTTTTTTTTATTTCTCTAATACCTTACATCGAGGATGTCTAGTTTTTATGGTCCACCAAAGTTACAATGAAGGCCATATTTGGATGGTATAAAAAAATTTGTGTTGGGGTTTTTTTTTGGACTTAACCCTTTTTGGCTCTCAATTTTCTGGACCAGAAACAATTTTATTGGACTAAGGGCCCCTTTATTATGTTATTATAGAGGGAAAAAAACGGACTTAGCCCCAACTTACAATGCATTTATCCAGAGTTAAGTCCACTATAGTAGACACAGCTCTGTTTAGTTCTCAAATGCCCTAAAAAAAGCAGGGTTATGTCCATAGCTGTCTTGAGATCTAGAGCACCTAGAGATAAGGCAAAAAGACCAAAATGTAGAGCTAAGTCCAGACAAAACAGCAATTGAGAAATGTCATTTTTTGGAAAAGTGGACTTAGCACGTTTGGTTTTGAGGTGTCGAATATGTCCTGACTCCTAACCAGGTTTTTGTATATTTTTAGGGCATTACTCTTGGTTAGACATAGCAAAATCTTTCTCAATACCCATAAATTAAATTAGTTATGGACACTGGTAAAAATTTTATTCCTGATCATCTAAAATTCAGTCCTTGGTAGTATTTATGATCTTTAGTTTGCACTTCTATGGACAATATTTGAGGTGACCAATTGTCATATACAACATAGATGGGTATACATAATTTATGCAAATTGACCTTTCATTACAGATTATCTTAAATCAAAGAAATGGTATAGAATAGTAATAGCCTATATTTGAGATTTTGTGTCTCATTTTTGACCCTTGTCTGTGAAAGCTGTATGATGAATCGTCATCATGGGATTGTTAAGGAATTTCTTGACACAAATTTTGGTCAAGTAACAAGGATTGATGATTTAGCAAATGCAAGGGAAATATACAATCAACTGCTTGGAAGACAACGTGATATTGAACACCAGGTTTTGATATATTATTGTACAGAATTTTGATATATACATATATACAAAATTAAGGTCATCAAAAATGAAATAATGATTATTAATTTGATCCTTATGCAAAAACGAATATACTATATTATTACACATCTTGCATATGGATCATTTATGGCGGCAGTTAGTGAAACATCACTGTTATGCCAATAAAATGGATTTTGTCATAAGCTACCTTTTTTCAGTTTTTGTTGTGACTTGGTTTTAATTATAGCGATTATAGAAAAATTACATCTCATTTTATCAAGGTCACTTTAAATTGAACCTCAACTTGCTATTAATTCTGGAAAAAAAAACGTCAGTTTTTCCCCTCCCCCCAATCTGAGCATTTACGACTTTATATTCAATTGGCTCCCCATGGTAATAATATGATAATCTTCCACTCCCTTGTTGAAGATGACCATCATAATGTAATTCAGTTCTATTATGTTTGTTTAGGTCACAGTTACAAGACCAAACAATTCATATGAAAAATTTCATATGTTACAAAAGGCTAGTTTGAGTGAACTATTTTATGGTGGTATTGTACCTGTTCAACTCTCATATGCCAGAAAAAGTTTTTTTTTTCAAGATAGGAGCAATAATATGCATTATGCATCATAATTCGCATGTGCATTTTAGCATATATAATATGTACATATATATAATTATATATAATATATAATACATATATAATTTGTCCTTCCTATGCGTCGCTGGCGTTTTAGTTTTTTTTTTAGACATTCTGTCTTGACACTTATGTTGACTATATCTCGGAATAAATGTATTACTCTACCAGTACTAAGAAATTGTTCTTTTATTTATAGCTGTCTGTTATTAGAACTGAAGTTCCAACAAAAATTGAAAGTGCAATCCGACTTTCTGATGAAAGTTTAACACAAGGTGAAACTCTCATCGCACAAAAAGATGTTCTTGTTAAAAAAATTAATCAAGCTATGGAAGAATGCCAGCCAATAAATGATGATCTTGGAGGAACGGTTTTTCAAGTGAAGGAAATAGAAAAATTTGTCGTTTATTTACAATGGTTGAAACATGTGGAAGAATTGAGGTTTGTCATAGATTGCAGACAATGTCAACTTTGGCAACTTATGAATCTAACTATATGTATTCGTACTTGTGAGTTTATATATTGCTTCCAATATGTTAACAGTCACATTTGGCTATAATATATTTATACATTTTTCATTGAAAATTATTTAATGACTGGAAATTGTGAGACTGAAGTGTAGTAGTTGAATTGATGTCATCGTAGCTGTTAGACTTTTTATTATGATGTCATAATGTTTTACCCTACAATGTTTAGCCTACTTTTCAGTAAACTGATTTCATTGTTTCCAGTAATCACAAACAGGCTATCCCGTACACTGTGCAAAGTTTAGATACTTTTGAACAAAATATTTATTTGTTAGTTTTTCAAGACAAAATGTCGGGCAAACTTTCAAAAAAAGCTCACAATCGCTGTAAATATAATCGGGCGTTCCAATATGATTTGATAAAGAAGTATTTTCAGAATGGGACATATCATTATGAAAATATGAACTAGCTATTGTTATATATATTGCTGAAGAATGCATTCATCACGATTTTTCAGACCCTAGAATTAAAAATCAAAGCCAATCGTTCATAATGTCCACTCTTCAAGTTTATGCATTTCTTATTTAGTGAAGAAATACAGAGATGCATTTCGAGCGACAATTTGAGTGGTGGTAGTCAAGCTTTTACGAAGTTGATAAAGGTTAACCAGATACTCACAACACAACATTCAAAATGTGAAAGTCTAATGAAATTTACGTCCGATACAATACTATTCTGGCATAAATTTTTAAAGGACAAATTGGCTTTGTAAGTATCAGTTATTATTGTTAGGATAATTGCGGTAGACTAGAACAGTCACAAAAATGCCTGCAGAAAGTAGTTTAAAACTATTTGTGAGGTTACTGTAAATTGAAAGTGATAAAAAAAAGGGTTAAAATTTGGTTTTCTGTTTGTAGGATAAGTGTGCAGTGTGTTAATTTCACTCAAATCGATACTTACAAAGCTAGATAAAATAGAAATTCCACCCTAGAAAAATTCACCTAGTAAATTTCCTCTCTGAAAGTGTCATTGAAAATTTCTTCTATGGAATATCTCACTCAAATAAAATCCCCAATGCCAACTTATTTTTTAATTGATTCTTTGTAAAATGTCATATTTTTATCGCTTGAATCAGAATTTTCAGGTTGATATTTTCATGGTTCAATTTCCTCGGGTGCTATTTTCAGGACAACCTCCGAATCACCATAAGTAGTTACAAATCAGGGATGAACTATTTTAAAATGATTTCATTGTTCATTATTATCCCTAACATTTCCTCAACCAATTGGAGTTACTTTATAATTAGGGTTACCATATTTCTGTGACTATAAATCGGGACGCCTCAAAAGACAAAGATTTTGAAACTTCACATTTTCCGATTTTACTAACTACATAGGCCTACATTCCTACATTTAAAGCTGTCCCGGCTGTCTTTATTGACCATATTGTTATCGAAATTTCATGCGCATATTCTCTGTCAAAATATCGGGTTCAATTCGAAAAATAGGAAGGAATTGACGTTAACAATACCGGTACAAATAATTCGAATTTAGACTAATTAGTATTGGTTTTACATGCGATACGTCTGCCATCAATGGGAATCAGCGGGAAACGAACGCATTCACCTTCAGTAAGTAGGCTAGCGCTGCGCTACACAGAAACAACAGTAACGAGAACATGTTTGTGTATTATGCTGGAAAAGCGGGACTTTTGGCTGACTTATCGGGACGGCGGGACAAAACGCTGAAAAGCGGGACGTATGGTAAGCCTATTTATAATACTAGTATTTAACACTCAAATTGTCCATTTCAGAGAGTTGGAGAGTGTTTTGAAGCACATAAGTTGGCCTTTTATTCTTGCTCCTGGTCCACGAACCATTCCTAAGACACTGCCAGGTTCCTCGGGCGAGAAAAGTTCTAGTAAAAGTGGAGCAAATTCCACAGCTTCAACAGATCTTCGTGCAGATTTTGAACGAGTTTTCACGAACTTGTTAATGATTCAACTTCCGTATCCTTTCATAGGCTATTTAAGACTTGGTGAAAATTAGCATATCATTTTCAGTTGTTCATAATTATAATTTGAGGGTGCTTTGGTTATTGTGTGAATAACTTCTCCTTATGTATTTTTTTACTGTGTTTCCATATATGGCAACCCAAGCACAAGAGGGCAATGCTCAGCCCTCAAATATGTGTACATAGAGGTTCTAAAAGTTTTCCCTCATGTCATAAAAAGTATTCCTATAAATTAGAATGAATCTGCAATGTATTGGCAAAGTATTTTAGCCACCGTCATTAAAACAAAAAGTAACATGAAGTCGTGCCTTGTTGAATGAGTAAATTATGACTATTATGTTTAGTCATATAATCAATCGATCATCTCATGACAGTGTGATTATCTCATTATTTATATCCTGGTACATAATTTTTGAATAGTATAGTATCATTGTTTTATATGTTTGAATGTTTCCATGTATAATTCAAACACATAGATTTAAAGCTATTGTATCGAAAGGTTGATTCCTAATAGCTATTCTGATCAATTTTCTTTTTATCTTAACACAAATCATATGTAGAGATCATTTGATAGAAAAGCTGAATGCTCAATCAGACAGTAAGTATATTATCATTATTACACTAGCTAGGTTTCTATTACATTGTCCTGTTCAAGTACTATATTTGCGCAACATATGGGACACAAATTTCACTTGATAGTAAATAGTGATTAGTCAAGATATTTTAAGGCGTCAGAAAATTTGAGATTGAATTTTAAACAATATGCCATTCTAAAACTTATCGTATTTATAATGTTCCAAATCATAAAGACTTCTAGAATACAAATTTATTTGGATATGTAGTCACAAACACAAGAAGATAAACTAACTCTAAAAATTATATGCTACCACTGAGAAGGTAACTTCACTGTAAGCCATAGCCAATCAAGGGGCAGTGAAAAAACTTGCTTTTGGCGTTTTGAATTCCAATAAAAATTTACCTAAATGATATTATTTTTGGCATAGCAAAATGTTCATAATTGGACATTTTTATAAAATAAAAATTGTAATATATTGTAAGGCTATTATGATTGATCTATTTGAAATATTGAAACTGAAAACTGAAACTGAAAAATAGAATTTTTATTAAATGAGAATATTTAGAATTGAGAAATCCACAGAAAACCGTTGTCAGAGATTGATAAAGTCTTTGAATGAATATGATTCACTCAGAACTAACATTCATTATATGTATTATTTATATAACAGGTTCAAACCAGTCACAGCCAGTATCAAGCAGTCATATTTTACTTCCAATTCAGTTATTGCTTCGACCATTACGAAAACGTTTTCGGTATCATTTCTCTGGTAATAAGCAGACAAACTCTATTGCAAAGCCTGAATGGTATCTTACACAGGTAATAATGTTCACCTTGAAAAATGTACTGAGGAGTGTGTTATTTTTCAATTTTGTTTCTTGTTATCCTTGGACTCATGTTCATTATTTAACCCAAGGTGTAATAATTTTTGATTTCACAAAAATCCGTATGACCTTCCTTAAAAACTCTTATTAATTAAGTTGTCATACTGACAGTTTTGGTTCTTCATTAATATTTTGAGACAAAAGGTTTTACATACCAAATTGTGAAAATAGGATCAGATTAGGAATCAAGAATATACATTTTTAGATAACGAGGGCCAGTATATTAGTAGAGTACCGTTCAATATAATGTCAACAATATATTACCTGTAATGTAGTAGCATGTTGACATAGTATTATACGGTATCTTCATTCAAATTTTCCTCTGAGCAGGGTCATAGGGCAGTACTTCCGCAGTATGTGTATCAGGTTAGGGTTGGGGGCTTGGGGCATAATTTTATTCTGATTTTCCCACATTTTAGTTCCATTACGAGTTCGGGGACTGTCTGTGTTAGCCAAGTTAATATACTGTGTTTTATCTCAAGTATAAAAATAAAATAAAATTTTGTTCTTTTGTTCTTTCAGATTCTCAATTGGGTGGGAAATCACCGTGATTTCTTAGAAGACACTGTACAACCTATACTTGATACAAAAGGACACAAAGATGTTGATGTTCTGGTAAGTTGTATTGAAATTCCTTCCATTGTGTAGACAAGGTCCTTTTTTGTCATTCTGTGAGAATTCATTTGTTCGAAAGGATAATATTTCAAATAAGGCTATTATTTCCAAATTCAAGAATTTGATTTATTTCAATATAACTAATTTTGAATCATCAATTTTAGTATTCGATTTTAAATAGATGTCGATTTTTGTTACAATTAAGAAGATTCTTCATTGCAGGAATTGACTGACTGGCTAACCGCTAAACAATCAATATTTTTGTCAAAGGTCCTCCATTAGTTACCGTAAACGAAATGACAGTTGAATTAATATATTTAATAGAACTATAACTCATCATTATGATACAGGAGTTATAAATTATCAAAACTATCCATCGATCAATTGATAAGTCAAAAATGGGCTGGTTGTATTCGTGTGATAAGTACTAAATATGACCTATCTGTACCTTACATTGAAATATCAGTGATGGTACTAATTATTTTATACATTAACTTTCAAAACCTAAAATAACTGTATGTTTGAATGACTATGTTATTTACTGTAAATAATTTGCTATGCTGTTTATAGCTGTCAAACTAGAATAGTAGAACTATAGAAGTATTGATTGAATATTGAGTAAAAAAAATTTTTTCTGCAATATTCATATTCAATTTTTTTTAGTTAAAAATTAAGTTGAGTGGTTTTTTTTTGTAATCATAAATGTTCATATTCCATATGTCATCACATTCATTACATCGCATTCAACATTTCTGATTAATGAGGAAACGTCTATAAATCTATTTTGTATATACAAAAATAACTTTAATTCAGACAAAATTTTTATTTATGAAGAATCTATTAGAAGTAGTCGAAACTGAGATACTCTTCTTACATAAATATAGTTTATTCGTATTCTCATATATTCATATTTTTGTATTTTATTTCCTCTTTTCAGATAATGTTTACTCAAGGATTACTCCAACTTGTATGTAGGAAATTATCAGAAGATATGAGTAGTTTATTGTATAATGATGATTTGTTTTCACATACTGTTGATGAGGTATTTACAGAACTAAAATAATAATATCCTTATTGTTAGATTTATTTTGCCTTTTGTGATTCTGTATTTTTCCTATCATGTAAGAATAACAAACAAGACAAAATCAATCTGTCTTTATTTTAAACATAAAAAGCAATATTTCATTTACTTGCACTAATGCTGGCTTTCAGTGTTTTTCACCTTTTATAGCAAGTTAATATTTTGGTTAATGACAGTGCAATCCAAGACAAAATTAGTGGTTTTAGGTATTTAAGCTTTCAGCCTTTGTTGAACCGATTGCTGTAATTGCGAAATCCATTTAGATTTTTTTTTTTAAATAATTTACGCAAAGCAAGGGTATGTGCACTCACTCTGAAGTAATAGAGACTTGTGTTTGAGCAAAATAGCAGACAACCATTGAAAAAACATGAAATACAGGAAGTAAATAGGGTTATTGTCGTGCGTTTACACTCCATTAGAAATCTGGGACCTCCCGAAGTATGCGCACCAAGTTATGTACCAGGTTAGGGTTCAGGTTGTGTGACATCTTGGTGCGCATACTTGATGAGTACTGAAATCTGCCTATTTGTTGTTGTTTGCTTCCAATGACGGTTTTGGATTGTGACTGTGGTTTGTGATTGTGGTTTTGGATTGTGACAAAATTTTATGGAAACTGGAGATGGAGGTGATATATTTTCACTGCTGTCAAATTTTTAATTCATTGATAAATTCTGTTTTTAGATTTTGCTGTTTGATCGAGAGTTGCGAGGATCACATGATTTTCCTGCTCTTGCATTTAAAGAAGAAAGCCCACTGAATGTTCTAATGGCTCCCGACTGTCTTCAAAAATGGATAAGTGTTGAAAAGTCATGTAAGTAGAGTTGGCTTATTCAAGTATAACATATACTATACAGAACCAAAGCATTAAAGAACATTATTTGATGACCACTTGATGGTTATTATTTCCAGAATAAACCTAATTTTATTATGCTTTAGTATGTGGTCTAAAAACCCACCATCCCAAAATACGTTTGCGAACAGCGTGTTACGAATTTTTTTGAATTCACTTTTTTAGAGTAGTTTTTAGGGTGTCAGTTTATATGCGAGGATATACCGTAGTTGGAATTAATGGTAACCATTGCATACATTCATGTAACATACTATATTTCATTTTTATGTTCAGGTGCATTGGACAGGCTCGACAACATGTTGTCATCTGCTAAAGCATGGGAATCTCAGTACGGAGAACAAGCCCAATATGATGAAGACTTGATGATGATGCAAGACAATAATTTAGATGATGTCATGGTTCCTGAATGTGCTGAGTCATTTATCACAATGCTTTTGACTATTACTGACAGGTGATTTGCTCGGCTCAATGCTTAGCATTGTCAATTAAATCAATCATGTTCCATGTTCACTTTGTCCTTAGGTCCTTAGAGTGTTTTAGATTTGGGGTGTAGGCATGTATGTTGTCGAACCAGTTTATAGATTGCTGCTTGTTTGGTGAGATAAAACTTATTTCAAATAGAGAAACTGTAACTTTATTTTATTTGAGATAGAATTACAAACTATCAATGGTGATAAAATAAGTCAAAATTCCTACCAAAACTCAAAAAGCATTTAATTTTACGAATTTATAATTTATTAAGGAAGGCTTGCATACGCCAAAGTTTTCACCATCAAAATTTAATTTTCTCAGAGGTTTAGGGGAGTCTCAATTTTTTTCATCAATATTCTACTTTTCGTAGGTACAAATACATACCATCAGGAACATATCAACTGCGTTTTCTTGATTTACAACTTCATTTGTTAGATGATTATAGGATCAGATTAACTCAGGTTAGCATTACCTCTCTTTTTGCGTTATTGAATGGATTGCATTTTGTTGAATAGTGGATATTAAACCCAGAGAGCTCAAAGTATACAGTATTTCCTATGAACATTTGCTCAAGGCAATGCAGTAATGTCTACCCGGAAGAGAAGATATGTAAGTGACTACTGAGGCTGGAAGTTGATCAGATTAAAATCAATTTTATTCCAGTGGCGCATGAATCAGTTAAAGTCATTACAACAAGGCCAGCCCACCCAATAGTTATTCGGTGGGGTGCATTAGTTCGGCAAGTGAATTTAAAATTTATTTACATATATATCAGGAATGAAAGTCAAAATCGGTGTCTTTGATTAGGAACTGTAAATTGTCAATTTTATACAGTACATGCATACATATACTCTGTACATAACTGCTATTGTTCATTCGATTTTTTTTACTTGTTATATTACAGGTTTTAAAGAATGAGACCAGCGATTCAGCACTCGGAGAAAAGCATTTTGCTGTTCTTAATGCAACACATTATGTTGCAAATGTTTTACGAGAATGGGCAGAAAATTCGGTAGGCCTTTTTCATCAACTTGATTGTTTTTGGAAACACATTATTTCCCAAACTTTTCAGATATATTATTCCAATTGCCTAATTTGTATCTTTTGTTCCCTCACTTTGCATAAATACTGTGCGTCTGTAATTTTTTCAATCTTTAATGAATCCTTAGGTTGTGAAACACGCGGCTCGCATTCTTTGCTTTGCACAGTTTAGCTAGTTTATAGAGTATGCATAAATTTGTACTACAACAGTGCCACGCCCCCTTTTTAAAATTTGTCAAGTCTCGCGCCCCACCTCAAAATTAACTAGCTAACAATAAGCTGCGAATAACAGATGGTGAGGAGAAAGTATTTTTTATTCAAAAACATGTTGAAAATACGTGGACGGAACATATGTATCCAGTAAATATCCAAAATAGGTGGGCAAAATTAAATCTGATAAATATTTTTATTTTTAATCAGCTTTATGCCACCTCTAAAATTATCTGCGCCTCCCCTGTGGGGCGTGTCCCACCATTTTAGAATCACTGTATTAGAAAATACTAAATACTAAATATAACATTCGTTCTCATATTTCCTTCCTCTAAAACAAAATAATTCTTTCCTGGGGGGAATTCTTTCCTAGAAAACGCTGCGTTAAATAAATTAAATATACTTTCCTTCAGTTTTTTCTTGAGCTCAAGCATAAAAGAGACGAAGAACTTGGTACATCATCTGCTTCTTCTGTTGGTGATGTCGTTCCTCAATCACTACTTAATTTGGGACAAAGTAGATATGTAAGTTGTTCCATTACCAAGTTTATTAGCTTAGTCTTTATAGTGTTAGTTTGTACGCAGACATAGTTTTATTATCATTTGGTACATATGTCAGGGTACAGGTTTTTTTTTAATTTTTCAATGCTATATTAACATAGTTAAGCAGGTAAATTTCAACGTAAAAGTAAAGAACTAATAAGAAAACATTTTTTTCGGTATATAATTTTGTATAATCATGTTAAGTTATTTTTTTATACAACATATTATACACATTTTGCTCTCATCAAGCCCCTGCACAAACAGCCACTGTTAAGTAAAGGGCTATTATAGTTGGAAGGACTAGGATCTTTCCGATTTGTCATTGCCTGCCCAGTTTATTACACCCTAGGTGAGGTGGGATTTGAACCAGGGATTCCAATGCCATCATAGTTATGTCAATGTTTTACCCACTAGGCCAGGGGTCGGGAACCTTTTTGGCCAAGAGAGCCATAAAAGGTACATATTTTCAATTACATTACCGCAAGAGCCATACCGCATTTTCTTTCATCAATCATGTCCTTTTCTTACAATGTCTCAATATACAATTGATGTGACTTCTGATGCTACATGATGTCGCTGAGGGCCTTGAGCGAGTGCTCACATGCAACACATGATGAAATCCTCGATACTCATCGTCTTTTACTCTTTTTCTATTAGGCAATATTATAACAAATAAACAGTACAAACGGACGGAAGGCTTTTTCTTATTGCTCCGCAACTTCATCCCTTCGTGATGTCACAAAATATGTTAATGAATCCCTTAGTTTTGTCACAATGTCTGTATGGCACTTCTCGCACATAACTTAGATAGGCGCTGAGCGCGTGTTCTCAAACGTATTGGCAAATGTTCTGCCAAATTTGGCAATAACTATATAGTTTGAAATTTGGTAACTATAGTAAGCTTAGCCTTGGAATATCAGATTTTTCTGGGAGCCATATGCCATCATCAAAAGAGCCATGGGTTCCCGACCCCTGCACTAGGCCATCAGTTTTCGGCAATATCACTTGCCTCTGAAAACTGTATAATTGCACTTTGTTAGTAATTTGCATAGACTGATCCAAAATTAATTTTCAGTCAATTTCAAGCGATCCTATAGGATCAGGAGCGGATGACAGTGTTTTTGATGGAATGTTACGATTGTATGATCGTTTGTATCAAGATGGAATAGAACAAGTCGCAAATTTAGTTTTCCTGAAGTTCGAACTGGAAGCAAGAAATTATGCCAACGAGAGGTAAATACTACCATCGAGAATAATTTTTCGCCTGAATTCATGCCAGTCATAAAAATATACCCACGTTTCACACCAGTCGGGTGACTGGACTCCTTGGTTGTTTACATACATCGTTGGTTGGTTTACATACCTGGTGGTCAGTAACAGATTCCTCCATCATCATGTACTTGAAACAAACAATTTTCTCACTAATTCCATACCCCTGTACTGGTAACCGGACAAGCAATTGGGGTTTGCCATATGATTAAGTCATCTTATCAGCACTTTTCTCCCAGGATAAATATCCGATCTTTTTCATACAGCTACATTGATACAACTGTTGATGGATATATAGATTACTGTTGCTTATAACCTCCTTTGTAGTTATTCATTTATTCATTCTGGCGTTATCAAAATTTCAATATTTTTGAATGATAATTTGTTTAGTAACTCCTGTAAAACACTGGATTATATTACAGCTGGCTTACTTTACCACCAAAAGAAGAGCAGTTGACTTTAGTAGTCTCTCGTACAGCCTGTTCAATGCTGTTGGTTTTGCAAGAGCGATTGCATCTTTTATCTCGTAAATTATGTACTCCTCTCTTTTCCTCATGTTGGCGTCGTATTGCAGATAAAGTTGATTCATATTTGTTCCACCAGGTAATATATTGACAGCCTTGTACAAATTTTAGAGTTTAATATACGGTAATTGTACTCAATGTGGAATATTGCTAATTGGAATGGAAGTAATTTAATTACGCATGTTATTCGATCAATAACTGTTGTTTTAGCAATGCCCCATATTTCTCTAGATGTCCCACAGAATGTTGTTTTACACTCAAATTTCAGTTTCTGAAATATTGGAAAAGCCCATGTCATATGACTGTACAGTGTACTGTTGCTACCATTTCGTCCATATCATTGCTACTTATGAGTTTATTGCTAAAGTTTTAATGCAATGGAAATATCTTACATTCTTCCATACTACATATGAGTTCTCATTGGTTACAACTTACAAATTAGACATATTTTTTTTTCATATTTATTCAGTTTACTTTACTCTATATAATACCTTAACCTTAAAACATTTTACATAGGTTGTTGTGCAGAATCGATTTAATGTTGGAGGGGCAGCACAACTTCAGTTTGATATGACTAGAAATTTATTCCCTCTGTTCAGTGAATATACACGAAAGCCAGAGAGTTATTTCCGAAGGTAAGATTTGGTTTTACTAGTAGCGCTCGATAGGTACCGTAGTAACTAATATAAGGCTTTATCTTGAAAAAGTTGGTTGAGATATCAATCTCGTCATACACCAAATGTAATACATGCAAACCAAATGAATGTGGAAAGTAAGGACGATGCAAAACCTCAAGTCAAGTATATAACACACATCAAACTATAAACAAAGAACTTTAAATACATGACATGATGTTGTTGAATTTATTCAATCTTCAATTAATATTTTGCTAGTAATATGCGTAACTCGCATTCTGGATTTGTACAATTAGTACTGTACTTTCGTAAGTTATGCATAGGTATTACAATAATACAAAATAATTGAATAATATTACTGAAACTATACCCAAATACAAAGTAATAATTGTAACGTCATAGATTGCAGAATTTTTCCTTGTGTGCCGCAGGTTGCACACCCCTGATCTATAATATGCTCAACTTGAGGCTGAATATTACAAGTAATTGGCACATTTTATTTCAGAATGAACGAGTCTTGTGTTCTTTTGAATCTTCAAAGTGGTAGTGCAATGCTGCTGAGTGAAGTTCTGAGTACACCTCCAGAAGCTTTAGAGCAAGGTCATCCTCGACATGACCCAAATTCAAGTTCAGTTAAACCTTCTGCAGCTCTTTCAGACATTGGCGTAACTCTTCTACAACCAGATGATGCATCATTGGTTTTGCGACTTAGAGTAGATTGGCCTCAAAATATGTAATTTCAAATTGAAAATCAAGTATATTTTTGAAAATTTCAGCATGTTCAATTGGATACTAAAATATTGAATTATGTCAATAATAGTGCTATGATAGAAGCTTTTTTTGTTATTTAAATTCAAATTAAAGTACAACTGCATGTTTTCAGATAGTTTGAAATACATAATTTATCATTTTTTCGTTTGGCATTGTTAATTCAATTGGTCAGTGATATGTTCATTTTGGGTCATTTTCTTTGGCTCGTGTTTTTTGGTCTTGTCGTATGTTTTATCTCTTTGAGTGATTTTTCTATTTTGATGGTGTTGAAGTTGGTTGGTATTAGTAGAAGGGTGGTTATGTAGAACTTTATAGCATTAATACAGTATTTATCAATCTCTCTCTGTATTAACAGAGCTAAATGTCATAGATCTTAAGACTCTTGCTTCGATGTGTTTGTAATCTCCTATCCTATCCTAATCTGGGATATTGGGTTCATTTTTGTGCTATATTCATTCGTATTTTACTATAAGATAATTAGCCCAAGTATTTTCTGTGGCTGCTCACCAGCCGTGCTATGTTTCATTTCATGTTACTGCAACTGGTGTACATCAAAGGATTGAAAAATTTAAAACCTTCATTATCCACATGATTAGGAAATAGGTACTTCTGGAGAGTGATAATCCTCTGGAAAAATTTCTTGCCAAAGATAATCAGTATATCAAAAATTAACGATATTTACTGTTCTATATGTGCTCACCATCAACCAACAAAGTTGGTCATGGGAGTCAGCAATATATTATTTTTTCTGATTATGTTTGTTTTTCTGCTGATTCATCTACTGCCTGTTTTTCGGGTGAAATATCAAGTTTATATTTTATTTCCTAAAATATGACATAATATATTATTATTATCAAGTACTGCGTCTTTGATCACTATGCTGGGAGCAAGATTTGTGGTTGAAATATCATATTGCAGAATCTTTTTTTTTTATTAGTTTTGTTTTGGGTGGGACAGGCTGGAAGTATGGAGACGTTGGAGATGCTGCTTTACACACTTGACATGTAATTTCGTCGGACCATAGAAACTTAATAGCAGCATTTATATGAACTGGTAAAAAAGTTTTACGTAGTGAGTGGCAGAGTGAAACATTTCTGAATACCGGCATTGTTTTTTGGCGAGGTTACCGGTACGTCATTGACCGACCCAATCGCGGCCTCTCGTCCGTTATTTGTTCAGGTTGGGTGCGAGTTAGGGTTAGTTGGATAGCTGACCTAATATTCGATTCAGACGTGTGGTCAAATGCAGTCGCGATTGCCGTAACTTGCTAGAGTTCACGCGGTCCCCCCTGCGACGGGGAGGAGTTCAGCAATTTTTTGTACATAAAATAGGCTAACGCCACTTCAAACAATTCTTATTATTTATTAAATTTCTTATCTTTTATTCTAATTTATTTTTTACGTGTTTATTTATTTTTTTTTGTTACCATATAATTTATCTAAAGCTTCTCTCTTTTTTCTAATTTTATTAATGCTCTATGGTTGTGTGCGTGTGTGTGCGAGTGTGAATGATTTGATTCAATAGTTTTAGGTGAATGGCAATACCTTCCATCTTATATTCTATACGGTACGTTTCGAACCTTATCCTAGTTTTTGTTTACTCTCCTGATTTCATAATAAGTTTTTATTTATTTGTTTTTATCGACCGTTTTATCGCCTTTTTGCTGATTATGGAGTCGAAATAAACTTATCTTATCATTAGGCAAATCAAATTCTAATTTTATACCTGTATTAGTACACGGGCGTCCATGGAAGAATCATACATTTCAGTGCAATAGCTTTAGTTACCTGTGGTAGATACCGGTATGTATAAACACAGCTGGTGTTTCTCCGATCCGCAATCACAGTATCATACTGCAGAGCGGCCATTTTGGTTGTTCGTTGGCGGCATCCGCTCGCTGTCAGCAGCATTCCGGCGCTGTAACTACAGATTAACCGACGTCGATTCCACATCAGATGATTATGGCCGAGTACCAGGTATTTCCGAAAACCAGTCCAATTCTAGAATTTATACAAGAACGGTTTATTGGTACTGATATGTGAATATACCGGTACCTGTCTGTATTCCCGTGTTACCATACAATTTTATTGTTCTCATTTATCTGTTCCCGGCGTTAGCGCTGTAGCAAGACGAGCCAGCCAGAATCAAAGTTCAGAAGTTTGTTCAGTCAGTAGTGATTTGAAATACCGCTGTCTGACAGACACATGCTGCACCAAAAAACTGACTAGCCCAATTGTCCTTACATCTGTAAGCCTGCAGTACGGTAATAGGTAATGCTATATTATGACTCGACATCTTGCCGTCTTGTCAGATCTTTCCTGTTTAGAGTACCGGTACCGTACCGTAGAACTGTAGAATATAGAATCAAGCAAAAGCTTGAATCGCAAAGTCAGTTGAAATATTACATACAGACATCCGAAGATTTATTTTGATCCATTACTAAAATTATGCTGGAATGATTGGATGGTAGCATTAAAGACGCCAAACGGTACCGGTACTGTACTAGAGTAGACCCCACTTCAGAAACTTTGGAAAAAACTTTTCAATTTTTTGTTACCTAAAAGATCAACGTGGTACATATTCATAATATTGCTGTTTTGGGCCTCGTGTAGTTTCGTACCTAACTTGCTTCTAGTGGGCGTAGCATAACATTTTTTTCATGTGTCAATCCTAACCCCAACCTGAGTCCTGACTACGTCATCTAAAAATTACGGCACTCTGATGTCACAGTGACATAATAGAGCCTTTCAAACTATACAAACTGTCATCCAAAACGAGCATCTGAAATCAAACAGCTATTTCTCTCGTTTCCTTGTCGCAATGATCCCAATATGAGAAAGATTGCTGACGTTAGTTGGTTCTTTATCGTCAGCGCCAATGCATTGCCAGCGCCGATGCATTTCGGGCGATTGTACGTATATTTGGCAAGCTCTATGACGTGATTGTGACGTCGTAGTGACATAATTTTTTAATGGCGTAGTCAGGTGGGGGTTAGGATTGACATGTCCAAAAGTTGGTATGCTACTCCTACTAGAAGTACGTTAGGTACAAAACTACACAAGACACGCTGTTTTAAGAAATGGGAAATTGAAACCGACTTACATAACATCTGGTTTCATGGATCATTTGTTTGCAATTATCTTCACAGTGAATTTTTCTCGGTTAATACGATTCCCGCAATATTTGAAAATTTTGTATTACACAATGAACTAAATTCTGTATGTGTTTTTAACTCACTATCTGGCTTACTTATATTATTGATCAAATTGATATGTTTTTCAAATTTTCAGCCCAAAATATGTAATATAGTGTAAACCTCAGGCTTAACTTAGGCAGTGAATGTACATATCTTTGGATTATCTTTTTGTATAGACAAGGATGGCTATGCAGCAACTGATGTTTTCAATGCGGATTGTATCCGTGGACTCGTATATGGCCTGATCCCATACCTGGCTTGGATTTAGAAAGATCGGACTTTCGGAAAAGTCAAATAAAATCGGTACCAGTTGTGAGGGTATTTGGATCAACTCCGTCAGGTCACTATAAATAGCAAATATATTTTGAAATTTTTTGTTTTATTGTGTTTATTTTCTGTACTGGCATTATATACATGGTCAATTATAATCACTAAACTGCTGAGAATATATTTCTATTCACACCTGAAGTGAAAGTTTTTATACAGACCCAGAAATCAGTGAATACATCCTATATACATTCTATCAGGTGTTTGAGTTGAAAATTAAGCATTGCCGAACGTTTTATTCACATCTATGTTATAATCCTAATACTGTATCATGGTTAAAATTGGGCAAATAATGGCAAGAAAAACTATCAACTGTTGATGCTTATTTCGATATTCGTGTAAAAGTGAAATAGTTGATCCCAAGAAATTTTATGACTTTAACGTTACCAAGACAGTATGCCTATACTTGAAATTTATTTTGAAAGAGAGTATAGCGCACTTTATATTCTTAAGTGTTATGTTTTTATACATAAATATTGTTTTTATACATAAATTATAAATTTTTAAAAACTGACTCACACAGGACAAACAACGTGTCTTCATTTACATGGAGTGTTTCCTTATCTCATGATACCATATTGCGGACCTGATGTAATGGATTCACATTGGACGGAAATTGAAAGATATATGCAACAGTTGGCAATAAGTCTCGATAGTGCTCTTAATTCAGCAAGTGGGAAGGGAAAATCTACTCGTCACCGCGTTTTCAAAATAGTTTTGCTTCGTGGAATGTATGTTTGTTTATTTAATTTTATTGATTTTAAAGACTTAATACAATATCTCTATTTGAATGATTTGAAGCTTGGAATAAACCGTTGAATTATTTATTTGCTGTCAAATTTAGAATTGAAGGAAATTTGAGCATAATCAGTTTGGATTTAAAATAGGACAACATGCTTTTTTTATAGCTATATTAAATCTTTCATCTTGTCTCCCAAGCAGTTGACCAACATTAAACAACTTTATTCCTCAGTAGATTATAAGTAATTTTTATCACACTTCCAAATAGTCGTGTAGGCCATTGGGAATGCAATAAACCTGAATAAAGCTTTCCACATACCTGTTCATCTTATTTGGACCAAATATATAAAATGCTCTATGATAATAATTACGTGTTATTTTCTTGTTTTCAGACCATTTTATGGATATCACCAAGATGAAGAATTATTTTTGAAAATCTATTTTTACCTACCGGGAGATATCAAAAGGTTAGTATTATCTTCGTAAAATGTTATACTATTTTATATCTCTAACTTCTGACTTGTATTAGAACACAGTTAGGCCCATGACCTACTCCTCAATACCAGAAATTTCAGTTGCATGAAATTCAAAGTTAATTTTTTTTTATGTTCCATTGAACGCTTGATGTCCGAAATATTAATATCTTTATGGAACTCGCAACAAACATTGATTTCCGAAATGAATAGTATTCACATTCAAATTTAGGAATTTTCGAAGATTTGAATTCTTGATTTTTAGGAGTATTTCAGAATATTTCAATTTCGAAATTTATCATTTCTGATAAATTGCATTTCTGAATTAGGATAGATTGACAATGTATACATTTTTGTATTATTAAATTCAATCTCTAACACATACATTGGCCTATATATGCTCTTGGTTTACCTCCCAAATTAGAATATATCTGCTATTGAATATTTTCGGAACATAAAATTACTCGGTTTTGACTAAATTCTTGATTATAAGAACATTGAGGAAGCTCTTATAGCACAGTGCAATATTTTCGACTTTTCAGAAATACTAAATCAAATCAAAAACTTGTTACGAAGTATAAACCAAATTCTGGATTATAAGCATACTGAGAAAGCTCTGATCACATTCACAAGATTCGTTAGTTCCGACTGTGCAGAATTATTTGAATCAAACCAAAAATATAAACTAAACAGTTTGCAGAATAAAATCAAATATGATTTATGATTTTCAGAGCTGCTGACTTACTTCAAGCTGGTGCAGTAATGGATCGACAGTTTCAAGCTCATGAAGCTCATGTTCCCTATATTCTTCAATTATTCTTGGATTATAATCTATATGGAATGAACTTGGTACACGCTAAAAACTCTTGGTTCAGATTGCCTATAGGTAAGTTTTTCATTAATTTCTTTGATAATTTGACCTCTGTACCAGGACTTCTCAAAGTGGACTTTCTGCTTCTCGATGGGGCTACTGAGCGGGTCTTTGGGGGCCCTTAGCGAAAGCCTTTACCATGTACCATTCGCGACGATTATATTGATCCAAAGTGAATTTAAAAATTATTATGACTGTAATGCATTTATTCTTATGCTTTTATTTGATGGTTTCTTTATTATTAAACATGGCGCAAGAAATACATCAGGGGCTGTACTGTAAGTGCCGAGAGTCTTGAGACACAAATCTGATAGTTTATTAAGAACTGGTCTGTGATGAATTACTGTAAAAAATTATATACTAAGTCATATGCAATGGCTATAATTTCATTAGAAAGGTTTTAAAATTTGCTAATATTTCTAAAAATGATAGATATTCAATTGTGAATTTTATGAAACTTGATTCAGGAGTTCATAATTAAATGTAGTGCCTTAACCACCAGGTCAACAAAATTTAATAATCAAAATCAGTAATCAATATACATGCTTCAAAACAGAAAGCATCTAACAGAATTCCAGAACACTAAATTATCTGAATATATTCATTATTAAAAAATACTTACCATAAGTTTCCACAATGTGCCATGTCATTCACCATGGTTTACTTGATTATTCTTTCTGGTCCATTTAGCATAATATTATGCAATTTTGTTGAAGTATATTTAGCCTTATCTTTTTTCCACGTGTGTAATGTGGCGGCGCCTATGTGTCTACATTGTTTGATTTCTAAGAGCAGATTATTACCATAATATAATGTTGTAGACATCATAATTCCCACGCTTATCTTCCGTTAGTATTTCATTTCCAATTTGGAATCTATTTGCACAAATATGAGAGAGATTAGGTAATGTGTAATGTGGGTGGAAGTTTGTATTGAAATCAAAATGGCGCTTGATTTGTCTTAAAAATATGAAATGTATACGACGAAATATGTCTTCAATTATTGTCCCAAAAATTTGAATCCAAATTCGTAATATCCCTGGTCTTATATCATTATGTATCTCTAAGCTGGAAAATCTACATGGAAATATATTTATGAGGGAATGGCCGAAGCTAAATGTTTGACAATGCAGTATCTGAAATAATAAAGGGAATTCAAACTAATATGCAAAGACCTGTTTCTCATCTACCTTTAATTATGCTTATGAACAAACGTATCGCTGATGAAGCATAAATTAAAGTAATGCTAAAGCATAAAGATGATAATATACCACATTCTTAGGTTTGGTTCCGCCTTATTAAGCCTAAATAACTTAGTTGAACTTTGTACATTCTTTCATGAATTACCTTTTTTTATGTAAAATGTCGTTAAATCAATCCTATTTTAATGATTTTCGGGTTCAAGTCATAAGGGTGGACTTTAAAATTTCGAACAAATTCATTTGCAAATATTACAACAAAAATAGGTGCACTGCAATCATAGCTAGGAGAATTATTCACCAAAGTTTCAAAATAGAAAATATATTTTTATTTATTTTCTCAAAGCAGCAAGTTTCATCCTTCAGATTGGGTGACAAAAATTTTTTTTCAAACATGATATGGTACATAAATGTCATGTATTTAATCATATTACTGCACTGGTAAGGTGCTTGCTTTCAATGATGATTAACCTACTAGTTTTAGTAACTCTTGGTTATTGGTACAATGATCAAAACACAATTGGGGTTATCTAGGTCAATATTTACTACATTTACTATTCAAATTAGACACTGTTAGGTATGGACTTTGGATGAAATTTGTCAATTAAGCATGTTTCATCTATTGTCATGCTCGTTATGGAATATTTCTTGCATTACATGTTAAAATTGGTTATGGTAATATTACAATTCATATGATCAGTGATGTGCCTAATTCTTTATCCCACTATGCCTCTTGAATTGCACTAAATTGGAAGTTTTGTTTGATCATTGAACACGGAAATTGGGACAAATATGTTCTACAAGGATACAGCTGCAGTAAAAACAAATTAGCTTTTTACATTTTAAGTTTCCAAGAAAATTGCATTTTTGTAATTTGAAGATATAACAACCAAACCTAAAATAGACATAGACACTACCTAAAATAGGTAGCCAACAGCTTTGAAGCCCAGACCAAAAGACGGCCCGTGGCCTGTAATGACAGGAGATAAAAAAGTACATTTTCGAAAAATGTGACATAAGCAACTTTGGTTTTATATGGTCGATGAAGTATGCCATTATTCAAATATTTATTGAATAGATGAATAGAGTTATAAGATAATTTGGATCTTCCTATTATATCTTTCAAACCAGTTTTATCAATTCAGAAACAATTAGGGGCTATTCAAACATTCCCAGAATGGCTCAATAAAATACAGTTATATTTTGTTCCAGTAAATATCCAGAAATGATACCATAAATACTCGATAATTTTTCAAAATTGTCAAAAAGTTTTTTTTTTCAGGTAAAACTAATCAGGTTTCGAATTTCATTTGGAATTTGACACTTTAATTTTTAAGTGTTTCCATAGCTCATTTTCCTCCATAACGATCATAAAAATGACTTAGTCATGAAGATTATTCACATTTGAGGCATTATTTTCTACTTTTCAAGACAAATGGCGTTTCATATTGCGTTTTATTGTATAAGTTCACACTGTAAATTATATGACTCAAAATAAATCTGGTCATTGTATTTTGCCTCAAGCATAAAGAAGAGTAAATAAACTCATACTATAACAATGTTGTTTGATATTACAGTTTAGAGCAATAAATAGGGGAAAATAGAAATTTGAATATTGCAAGCAGAAAGAGCCCAAAGGGTTCGAATAATCTATTAATTCAATGATTTTTTGAATATCAATTATGTTTCCAATTGGGCGATCCAACAAAAAAACACATAGTAGTCTTTAGTCAATTATATTAAATGAGAAATGAAATTGGAAACGAAGGGTAGTTAATATAAACATTAATTTGATTGTTTTACTATATTTCATAAGAAATTTCTGAACTAAAGAACGACTTCATTTGCTCAAGAACGATACTTGTTCAAATTTAAGTATTCTGATTTATTTATAAAATCAGAATTTAAACAATCAAAGATAAGTCATTTCGATCTATTCAAATATTTTATATATTTTGGACATCTTCTAATGCAAGTTCATCACACATATTAAAATTCCCTCGAAGTGTATCCCTTGAAATAATAATTTGAGTGCATAGGTCATATTTATGAGTTGTATCAATAATTTCTTCTGTTTGTATTATAAAATTAATCTGTATATAATTTTGAAATTCCTACTTTTAATTCACTTTAAATTTCAACAAAAATCTTAATTTTGTTCCAATATTATTTCCCTCAAAACTTTTCAGTTCAAGAAATTCGAGTTTTACTTCTGTTCATAAGACCCTGAAATTTATATTGTGTGTGACTGTGAAGAATTTATCAATATCATCGCCCCCTGCATATGTATTAATTAGAATGAAAAAAACAAACCTGGTTAATATATTGACTTCACAACAAAATTGAATTTTTAATGGGGCTTTATGAACATTCGTATTACCTCCTTCGCTTTTTTATTTTTATACATTGATTCCTATTGTTTTTCTAATGATTTATGTGTTCGTTCATGATCATTTTTTGATCAAATTTATTACTCCATAACCTTAATTGATCAGAGATATTCTTTACTTGTTTTAGGCAAACCAGATCCGATTGACAAATTACCTGAAATCAAACGACCGGATGATATTGAAAATGATAATAAAGAACAACCTTCGAATAAGACCAGCGTTAGTAAGAAAGGCAATGACAAAGACGATGATTTGAAATTGGGTATGTACTGTCTGATGTTGTTGGAATTAGAGGCCTTAAACCAAATACTTTACTATTTCGAATACATTCTGAAATAACAGTATTTTAAAAATTGGGTATCGTATATTCAAAATCTGGTCATGTTTTATAGAAAAATTTTCATCAACCATTGTATATCGATAAAAATTCAATTTAGTAATATAGAGTATGAGATGGACATTGTTTTACTTGATTTTCTTTTATCATGATTTTTTGCTTGACCATCCATCAGATGTCAAAATTTTGTAATGCCAAATTTTTTAATGATGGTATCTACCGTATATTATTCTCGCAATGAAAATTTTAATAAATCAAATATGACCAATATCGAATCGTTTCAAATATTTCATTCATTTCAGTTATCTTGGATTTTAATATTACAAAAATTAATTATGTTTAATCTGGCATGGACTATAGTTAGCTGTGTCTTCCTAACAACAATAACGTAGTTCAGGAATAGACCAATCATTAGACTGTTTATATAATATTATGCCACATAATATTGATATTTTAATATAGTTTAGATATTTTATGTTTGCCACATTTAGGTTTTAGGTATTTTAGTAAAGAAAGTGCTGCAGCACAATAATGAGATTTTAATGCAAATTCAAAGCATTGTTTTGCATTGTATTTATAACGCATTAACAACCTGCTGTAAAATTTGATATTTTCATTATTTATTTTTTTATCATATCTGAGATGAACATCAATTTAGATCTTTTTATTAATATTGGATTGGTTCTGGTTTGATATGAGAATTTTTATATTTAATAACAGCTGAAAAATATAATGCACCGAGCATGTCACAGCTTCAAAATTTTAACTGGAACTTGCTAAGGGAGAAAGCCCAGAGTTCATATTCTCAACGTCAACCTCACGAAAACGACGATCTCGGAGATTCAGAAGTTCTCCCTTCTTCATCTATTCGAAGAGCGTCAAAAGAGGAAGATTCTCAGAATGTTTCTCAAGGATTCTCATGTTCAAATTTATGTAAAACACTCATGTCTAAATCACTCTTGTCAAATGATTCTCTCGAATCTGAGGACATGTTGAGTAATACTCTCACATCTTGTATGTGTCCTCTACACACTCAATGGACTGGCCAAAATGTACCAAGCTCCTCAAAACTGCCGGTGCAAGTTGAGAGGCACAGCATGTGTGATTTAGAAGTAGACGTTCTTGCAGCTGATATTGCAAACAGGTTAGAGCAGGGGTGCACAACACGAGGCACGTGTGCCAAATTTGGCACGCCATACGCTCGAATGTGGTACGCGAACGGTTTCGTAAAAACAAAATATTCATGCAGTTTTTTTTCAGAACATGAAATTGTTTCAATAAATAGATATTCGTTATTATGTATTGTTATTGCAATTTGTTTGTTTTACTGGAGTTTATTTACAATACCACAATTGTGCGTGGCACGCGACAAGATTATTTTGAAAAATTTGGCAAGTATCCTCATTTGAGTTGTGCACCCCTGGGTTAGAGTACCTATATTTTCATTTTTTTGTCCGCTAGGTAATGAATCAGATTAAGTACACATTTATGTGAGTTTAATTTGAGTGGTGAGCAAATGTTGAGTTGAGTCAATAACGCGAGAGTATCCCCAACACTGATTGGAAGCTTCTATAGAGTTTTGTCTTGAATAAAGGTGTTACGATCCTCCTGAATATCAAACCGTATTGACCATAAACTTGAGCAAATAAGATTATTTTTTTAAATCTTTTTTTTACATTTTTCATTTTCGTATTTTTTCTTCAGAGACGAACTTGCAAATGCGTCCACTAAGAATCCAGGGATTGCTGCAATCTGGGAAGATGAGAGAGCCAGGAGGAGAGAAAGAGATGAAGATTCTCAAGTTGCGTCAAATCAATCTCAATTGAGAAACTTGCCAGAAAATTTTTCAGAAAGAGAAGCACGTTACATTGAGGTCTGTATAGCATTATGTCCTTTTTTTAACACTATTGCCATTCGAGTGAAGACATTAACCAAGTGGTAAATAAGAAGGTTAACAAACTGAGAAATAGATATACTTATTTGCAATTTCTTTCAAATTCAAATACTTACCGTAGATCAGATTCATTGTATGGCAATAGCATGCGCATACTAATTTCACAGCCAAAGGACATGATTTGCAGCAAGGTTTAAAATTTGAACAGAAATTTTGTTGATAAATAATTTCTTTGGTTGTATATCTTGTGCTCGATGAACCTGTAGGTATCATTAATATATTTGCAGAGACAGAGTAGCTCAAAATGAGTTAACAACAATCACTGCTGTCATTTCTCACTCGCATGATAGCTCATTTCCCAGTTTATTGCTCTTTACGTCTTCAAATCCAAACAATTATTAGGTTGTGGGGTAGGCTTTATAGATATTGCATAGTTAAAAACTGGATGGTTGGCGATTTGAGAAGGTCCTAATAGGGCTGTCATTTATTTCCGATTAGTAATACTCGTGCCTTTGCGTAGAGAAAATGAAGTTTTTTTGCTGATTGCATACCTGCCTTGATTAATAAGCTGTTTATCTGCTTCTTCATTTCGTAAAATTAATACCGAAGCTCTTTTATTTAAATTAAAATAAGTATATCATTTCTGTCTGCAGATGTTGTATGATGCATTGGATCGTTACAAAGGAGAAAACAGTTTAACATCTCTGAATGATTCTCTCTCATTTTCTGCTTCGTTAACATCTCGTAAAGCGTCATCCGAAGCAGGTCCATCTAGGAGAGAATCAAAAGATCTATTTTCTCTTTCTCCTTCTGGTTCTCAACCAACATCTTCTAAGGAAGGCAGTCAGGATACCCTCGGAATTTCTCCAGAGTCTGGTCTGACTCCAATAATTAGCCAAGATGTTATATCTCAGGTATTTTTATCCATCATTGTTCATCGACATTATATTGAATTCATTTAGTTGTAGTGCATTTATTATTATTAGTACATATGCCTATTACTTTGCCCATAGTATGATGAATTCCAATGCTTAATCGGGAAGATTCAGTGTCTTCCAGACATTGTATCTATGGCTAACTTTCAAGAGCAGTAGTTCTCAACCTTTTTGAGCCACGCCCACCTTTTTATAATTTGTCAAGTCTCGCACCCACCTCAAAAATAACTAGCTCACAATAAGCTACAAATAACAGATAGGGAGTCAATAGTAAGTATGTTTTGTTCAAAAACACATTGAAAATACGTGGATGAGAGTAATATTGAAATAAATGAAAAGTTTTGAAATGTAAATATCCGAAATAAGGCAAGCGAGATCAAATCTAACAAATATTTTAATTTTTAAAGCTTCACACCTGTTTAAAATGTTGCCAATGTCCCCTTAGTGGGGCGCACCCCACCGCTTGAGAACCACTGTTCTGGATCTAATTCGAATTCTAATTTATTTGCCATTCTCAAATTCTGGTATTCTTGGTTGGTAAATATGGCTGCTTTATTGCACCGCTACGTTATTATGTACTATTATCATTATCATTATTTTTTTTATTTGAAAAATTTCGAACTTTCATCCGACATCATTCAGGTTATGAATTCGGCCAAAAGCCAGAGAACCAGGATCGAGAGTGATATGGATGATGATGTAGATATTTCGACACTGGAACTCATGAATAAATTACATGAAGAGTAAGTTGAGGATACATTTTGTAATTTTATCTCAATATATATATCAGATTATTAGACTATTTTTGCTGATCTTCATAGATGCCTACTTTTTGATATACCTGTTTGGAGTGATAAATGTTTTATCAAGTCATATTTTAAGTACGGTAAACTTTTCATTTTGATGTCATCAATTTAATTACCGCTAGATCCAGTTTTACACATTTACTAAATTCAAAACAATTTTCTAAAATGAGTCAGCTCATCGATAAAACAACACATAAGAGGTTTACACAATAACTTAAACATTAATTCGTTTGTTTTCATTTACTTGTTTAACATGGTGTAACAATAAGCAGTTATAATAGATATTTTCTCATGAACATCGATGTAGTAAATGTAAAATATCATAGAAATTGTCCTTTTTTTGTCAAACATTACAGTTTTAATAAAAGAGCGTGAATATGAAGTAAGACTATTACAAATATTATTAGTAAAGTCTATATTTCTCAGAATTTATTTTGCTACCTGTTTCACAATTTTAATAAATTACAATATAAGCTTTGTGTTAACGTTTCAGTATTTCGATTTTTTATTTTCTAAAATTAGTTTAATCCCTTCAGGCAGTTATATAACATCTTCCATTCATAAATATTTAGCACTGTGGTTTGAAATAGTGCATTAATGATATGTAACCTTTTTTGACTTTTTGTTAACCTTGTAAGATCGCTAGCCGCAAGATTGTAATCATGTTGTTCTCGAGTAATGAATTCAATACACAATAATTTTTTTATTTTAGCCTTTTTCAGTTTGATCTGAAATCAGAATCAATGTTTTGATGTTCAAACTCCAATTAATGCTATTTTGTGAAATTTGCCATTTATGCAATGAAATTATTATTGACATTATGGTACTCCCGGAGTGTGTGTGTACCAGGTTAGGGTTAGGCCATAATTTTATTCCGATTTTCCTCATTTTAGTTCTATTACGAGTTCGGGGACTGTCTGTGTTAGCCAAGTGAATATATCCCCTGCCCATAGGTTTTTGTCTCTTTTCACAACTTGATGTAAGTAGGTGAACAAAATTAGTTACCTCCTTATTGGTACACACACTTCCGGAGCGCCAACATTATTATTACTTCATAATATTTTCTATATATCTTGTAATTACAATAATTACTATGAGATAGATTCATTTGAAAATGAAATGTTTTACAAAAATATCAAAAAATTTTAAAAGCATTTTTAAAATGGCTTAAATTTTTTGAATAGTGTAACATGAGATAAGCCTTTGGTATGAGACATGCAGCTATGTTACAGGTGTTCATAAAAATCGAAATTTTGAAATTGAATCAGGAATTTATCGATACCAGGTGTATTAAAAGTGAAAAAACCTTGAATAAACACTGATAAAAATTTTACGAGCATGGTTAAAATATATTGAAAACTGAATTAATTGAAATTGTAACAGTACTTCATTACTCTGTATTACTTGATTTTGTTAACAATCCCTCCAATAAAACTGACTTAATGATGCTCATTTGGTTAGAATAAGTGATTAAATTAAAGAATTAGGTTAAACATATTAGCCTGTTGTCAATTTGACCTATTTTGTTGTCTCTGATAACTACTGTATTGTTTTTAGCATAAATTATTTTGAATAGAAGTATGTTTATATTTTTCTTATGGTTGTATTCACGGATGCAAAAAAATGATTTAAATATTCAAATACATTCAAAATGAGAATATTTGAAATAATAAATATGTAGTTTTATGAGGAATTTTGAAAATTCTAGTGTTTTCTTTTTTGGAAATTTATTATTATATGCATTTGGTCAGGCGTAAAATTAACTTTATTCGACTTCCAACACTGTTGAAGGGAAAAAATGGAAAATCAGTCTAAACCATGTTCATTTCTAAAATAATCTGCATTACCAAATTCGATTTCTATCAATTTACAATAATTTTTACTATTTTCTCTGTTGAAGATGTAATTTAGGAGGTATATAATAGCCTATTCCATATTCAAAAAAGTTCATTTAGAATGTGTCTGATACTTTAAATCAAAGATGTGCAACCTGCGGCCCGTGAGCCAATTTTGAATGATGTGTGGTCCGCAAAAACGGATTTTCAATGTTAATAATTCTAAGCCCTTTGTGTTGCAAAGCCTATAATCGAGTCCAATTTATCATCTATGCCCTTGAACTTACAATGCCTTAACAGCTTGTGCGAAGCGAACAATGTATGTCATTTAAGATCAATAACCAAAAATTTTGTGCCTGACACTACTAGTAAGCCTGTTTTAAATAAAGGTACGGCCTGCGGTTTCACTCAGTTATTTCTTTCTGGCCCACCTGTGTAAAAAGGTTGCACACCTCTGATTTAGGGTATTCGACTTATGCCATCTCTTTTTGTATGTGAGTAGCTTGTTGAAACTTTCTTGCTTTTTTTGTGTTCAATGTTTGATTCAAATAATCTGAATGATATATTTCTGTGACTTTCAAAATGTATATTTGAAGGGATTTTGAAGTTATTCATTCATGGGAAGTATGTAGATTTTTAAAATGATCCATATTGATAATTTTTTACACTGGTCATTTTTACAATAAAATAATAATTCACTACATTTACAGCTTGTTTTGTAGCCTGTATCATAATTTTTCATTTTATTTTGAATTCAGGTTATCATATTTGAGATAAGCCAAATTAATCTCCAAACAGACTTCTATTGTTCATTGACTTTTTTATATTTGAATGTTTCTATTTTCAGTGAAGAAGAATTACCATCAGTTGCCTCACAACGAGGAAACGGCCCACTAGATGTTGATCATGAGCGACAGACGCCCGAAGATTTTGCATTTTCTCAAAATTCCATCAAGAAACAGCTCTTTTTCTATTCAAATTCACAAAAAAATTGACGATTTAGCACATCATCTTTGGATTCTACATTACCTATAGCCCCACCAAATGACGATGAAGGACGCAATTGAACATGTTTGAGACTGTCTCCAGAGATGGGAGCAGGTGCAAATTCAAGATTTGTTGCAAGATTTATCTGATAGTGATAATATGCAAATTTCCGATAGTGACGGGGATGATGTAGCAATTCCACAACTTGATGGTGCATCTGATGAACCAGTAAAAGGTAAATTACAGAAAAGCAGCGGTGTATTGCGGTGTTAAATTAATGGTAGTGTTCATATGTCAAAATGTAGATATTGATAAGGAAAATTGATAGTTTTTCTGTAAATTTAAATGCGAATTTAGCACTGGAGTCCTAATTTCTGTCGAGTTTTTTATTAAACTGAAATATATTATTTAAGCTTTTAGATTGATTAAAAGACCTCAAAGAGCTGGAATCGTATTTTCAAATTCGTTTAGTCAGATTCAGAGTAGTATTTTCAAGTTTTGAGTGCAAATTTACTTTGGCCCTACTATTGAAGTATTCTAAAATATGAACTTCCCCTAGTTCTAGTATGTTCAATTTACACGGTTGTCATCTTCAAGTATTTTGTCTGCTTTCTAGATAATCCAACAGGAAGTGAATCTACAGTAACTGGTGAACGACTAGGCTCAACAAAACGCGGTACAATTGCAAAGTCCAAATCACTTGATGTATTAGAGACTGAGGATATCATACCTAAACAACGGATTAAATATACAAAAAATGATACTTTACTTACAAGCAAAGTTTGCAAGAACAACCTCCCTTCCAAATGTAAATATTCCTGAGGTTTTTTGAAGCCCCAAAATATAAAGTTTTACCTGATAAATGTACAAATGCTTTCTAAAAATTCTGGATGTGTTTCTGTTGACAACATTAACCAATCCATTATCTCAATCTGAAGTCACTGATAAAAATGTCTCCAAAATTGGTAAAGTTGATCATAGGATGCGAATGAAGATGAAAAATTATTAAACCAAGAACAAGGATGGTGTATCTAGTTCGAAGCAAACAACAAAACCTCAAAACGGTACTTGTAAAAAAGTTGTACAACGAAAGGAGCAAAAAGTAACGTCGGCACGTACACATCCATGCTCGACGGGTTATGTCGTGAAGAAGAAAACAGTCCAAGAAGCTATTGCGAGTATCAAATACTTTGGTGGTAGCGAAGTGAATTTTTCTGGTAACGATAAAAATTTTGTTGATATTTTAATGAAGTTTAATGAGATGCAAACAGCTCGAAATGATCCAAATAAAAGAAATAGCAATAAAAAACAAACTACGAGATGGAATCTATGGTGCTGGTGAAGAACCTAACAATATTTTTGAAAAAATGTGTTATTCAGAGAATGAAAAATCTGATTTTACTAGCGACACTAGTCCGAAGCCAAATTTTAAAAAAGCTTGTTTGAACAAGAAAAAATCTAACAAGCATGATTCTAGTCGCAGGAAAGTAAAAAATGATAAAAACTTGAAATCTGATGACTGCAAAAATGATTTGAAATCAAGTCAATCTACTGAAGATAACGAAAAATGTGCTATTATTAAAAGCAGATCAGATTCATCGAAAGAAAATTCTAGTTTAAGTAACCAGTTACTTGTTAACAATGATATCAACAACGCTAAAACAAGTGATGATGCGATCAATATTTTGGAAACAAAAGACAAGTTGCTCATGGAAACATCCTCCACAGTAAAGAAACCCAAAGGCAGGTCACTAAGTGAATCAGTGTTAATGAAAGTTGAACCGAGGACTAATGTATTCACTACAATTCTCAATGAGAATCCTGGTGTCACTTTGTATGATCAAACGAAAGCAAAACCTCAAAAATTTAAGCATTCTGCCATAATCAATCTTGATTCGTTGTCGACCGGTGATGGTAAAAATATTTGCTCCCTCGATGATACGCTTGTATGTATTACGTCGACACCTGTGGAACATGAAGCGAACGTAGAAATTGACAAATCTCCATCAAGAAGAACGAGGAAAAATACTAAAAAAGAGAAGGATTCAAAAAGGTCTACCAGAACAAGAAGACCAAGATCAGCGTCTAAGAATACGTGAGTTATTTATAAGCAGTATATTGGGATAACATGTTTCAAGCTATTTTTTTCTCGGTATCTTGTGCAAATCTGTATGTAGTGAATAACATAACAATTCCATAATGAGGCGCGGTGGCCTAGTGGTTTAAGCATTAGACTCAGCTATGGTGGTGTTGCTGGTTATAATTTCGGATTAAATATCATGCCCACCATCTCACTCAGGGTATAATGAAAGGAAGGAGTTATTCCAAATACACTGTACAGGTGTAAAATGGCTCCTTATCTTGGTACTTTTGCCAAGCCTTGTTCTGAGAAAAAGGCATAGAAATACGCGTATCAAATAAGAACCAAAATTGTCGAACTATGATCAAAAGTTATCACCTTACTCAGGTTAAATTTTGTTTGTTTTTATAATTCAGCGCTAACGTAGGACGATACATTTCAAAATATTAATTTCTGATATCAAACGGAATTCTTAGAACAACTAAATCATTTGATTCTGTATGAACTAAGGTACTTTCACTAATTAACCCATTTTCACTTTAAACATCAAATCTGGGCAGGTATCTTGAAGATCCATTATATGAAACAGTTTTTGATTCGGACTGGGACTCTGACAAAAGTGAAACATTCGAACCCATTGAAACAGCGTATTCTTCCAGACGTACCAGAAATAGGAGAGCAAATGATTATAGGAGGAAAAGAAGCAAGAAACCTAAAGTTATTACAAAATGGATCATTGTTAACAGGTTTGTTTTTGAATATGTATTGCATTCCAAATGTTTTTAAACTTTCATATAGTATATGTTGATGAGAAAGTGTGATGTTAAGTGTCTGATATAGCAATCTGTGATATTCAAAATAAAATTTTTGGCCCTCCAGAAGCGGGTGTACCAATATGGAGGTAACTAATATTGTTCGCCTACTTTATATTAAGTTGTGTAAAGGGACTGGAACCTATGGGCAGGGGGTATATTCACTTGACCAACACAGGCCGTCCCCGAACTCATAATAGAACTAAAATAAGGAAAATAGGAATAAAATTATGGCCTAACCTTAACCTGGTACACACACTATGAGAGTACTGAAATTTCTTCGATAAGGCTCATACCTGATTTTACTTAAGTTGTTTGCACTTTTGTGCAAAATTCAATAAATATAATGAAATTTGATAATTATGCTATTCAAAATTGAGATTGAAAATGTTTCCCCGTTTCTGCTTTTTTGATAATAAAATATCACAATTTTTGTGAAAAGTCGACCCATTTATATTATTCAAACTGGAAACTATTTGCAAAGCTGAATTGTATTTATACTGAAATTTCTGATGTGGAAATTCTTGAAGCTTATAATATGCTTTCTTTTTTAATTCCATAGCACAGCATTTTGCATCCTAATAGGAGAATATGCATATTTTATTAAAAAAAATTTACAAATGCTATATTAACTTCATATTCCTTTTTTACAGATTCAAAGGACAGTCTAATATGCGAGTTGCATTGTGGAAACTTCCTCTAACAAAAAGAGTAAAATTAACTCCTGAACTATTACGTCTTTATGAGTTTTACTCACCCATAAAAGGATCAGAAATTTCACAGAAACCCCCATCCATTCCACTACAAAACAAACCAAGGCCTATGGGAAAACGAAGCAAACATAGACTTGCTATTTTATGTCCATTTGGTCCTCAATCGGACGACAACAATTCACCCATAAGAGTACATTGTAGTCAAATTTCCAGCTTAGAAAATATTGAAGCAATCGTTTCTGGGATATCGACCGAACAACCACCTTTGACCCCACTCAAAAATATATCGTCTGTTAAGCCTAAGTGTACGAGTTCTTGTTCTCCTAAGATTGAAGTGAAGTCATCTTTGCCAGAAAAAGTTATTGGTGTTGAAAATATGGAATTTGAAAATTTGTCCGAGAAAAAATCGGCCTCTGCTGCTTCAATAAAAATTGTGGATTCCTCTGGTAAAAATAATACGATAGATTTCGAACAGAAGCATACTTCTCAAACTGATGAAAAAAGCTTGTCTTCCGAGTTGTGTGAAAAATTACTTGATGATAACACAGTTTCTTTAAAAGTCGCTGAGCTAACAAAAGTATCACCTTTGAATGATTTACTAAATAGCCACAGCGTTTCCTCAAAAACTTCGTTTAATTTAATTCAGCACTCAACAGAGAAATTGGAAGATAAAAGTGACGCTGTATTGAACAATAAATTCACAGAGAAGGAAAAAGTTTGTCCGGTGGATGTCAAAATACCCATGGATGCAGGGAAAAAGAATGAAGAGCAAAATGTCGACCAACCCGAAGAAACTGTTTTGGACGAATGGGAAGATCTAGATGAGGATCTTCCTATTGCAGTAGCTTTTGCCAGAGCTTCGGCTAAGTTGAATAAAATTTCGACTTCTGAAAAAATTAAAACTGATTCAGAATTAAATCTAGCTATACAGGCACAAATAGACATATCAGAGAATGTTGTTAAGAAAAATTCAGAATTAATAGATAAACAGCGAAAATCGAAATCTGGCAACACTGAAACCAACGATAACCAATCCGATATAAACAATGTGAAAATGACAAGTTCAGATTTGCCAGTTTCTTTGCTGTGCTCTGAAAAACTGTCAGATATGCCAGGGGATTTCACTGTGGAAAACAAAGAAAAAATTGCAACAGGAGAGAATCTGAAAACAAAATTAGTTGAAACTATCAATGAAGAAGTTATCATTGCCAAAACATGTCCAATATTAACAAGTATTTTTACAAAATCGTCAAAGCCTGTTGTAAAAAAGACTGAAAATAGGAAAAAAAACGTCAAACCAAAAAAAGAACCAAAACGGAAACGAAGCTTGGTGAAATTAAATAGAGCTTCTCCTTCACCACCATTAGTCGAAAATAATCGTCTTAGTAAATCGATTGTGCCTGTCAGCAGTCGTACCGTTGAACCCCTTTGCAACAGAATATCACCTGACATAGTTACATCGTTGAAAAATAGTCTAGAATCTTCGGTTGAAACTCAGGAAAATGAGCGTTCACCTGATTTCAATATGAATACGTTAGGTGCTGAAAAATTATCACCAAGAAAGTCAAAAAAAGTAAATCCAGTACAAGTGACTCTTATGCCACATATAGGAAAATTGTCTCCACCTACTAGAGAGAAAAAATCACCGTCAGAAACTGATACTGCTTCCCCGATGTCTTCTCCTGAAAAGAAAGTACCGTTGCCACAAACTACAACCAAAAGGGTCTATGCTCCAAGCAGAAAAGTGAGACCTGTTTTGAGTCTATTTTTGCCTGGCGACATCTAATTAAATAAATATTATAACTCTCAATTTGAAGTATGTGGGCGTAGTGGCCTAGTAGTTGAACCATTAGACCTATTATAATGACATTGCAGGGTAAAATCGTGGGTTCAAATGCAATACCCACCACCTCACCCAGGATGTACTAAATAAGATAGGCAATGTTGAACCGGAAATATTTTAGTGCTTCTAAACTATGGTAATTTCTTACATAGAAGGGACTGCCTGCACAGAGCCTTGTTAGGAGCAATAGGTGTATATATATGTCTTACAAAAATGCCTCTAGTCAAATTGCACAATTTAAATAATAATTCTTCAGTTTTTTGTGGTACTTCACCATCATGAATATTCATTAAAAACAGTACAGGCCAACTTTTTTTTTTAATTTTTTAGGTGACAAGGAATAGTGTTGCTGTGAAACTAAAACAAATATCAGCTCCGAAATGCATGTTTAACACCATAAGCGATGATAGTATGGATCCTGCTCCCAAAAATGCTCTGCTGTATACTGGGTTTCCGTCCCCTATTCTGGACCCTCCATGGCCTGACATAGAACCACCAAGACCATGGTCTCCTATGCATGCTCCTGTGACCAATAACGCCAATATTCAAGATAATGAAGAAACTGAATCTGATGACTTATTGGAGTCATTTGCAGAATCTTTTGGTGCTGATGGTGAGTTATTAAGATAGGATCGACTGCAATTAATTTTTTTTAAACTGAATATTTTTAATCTGAAAATTTTTGTTTACTGTTAAATATTTTCTGTGCTATATTTTATAATTTGGCATAATGTATTCTTTTAAAATGTGTTGGTTTTGAACAATTCCTGGACAGATTTTAAAAAATTTCCATACAATATGTAGTGAAACGGCAAATGACATACTTTTGGAACTGGTTTATTGTCTTCTATACTTAGTTATCATTAGAATACATTATTTTTTTTTAATCTGACGCTTCTTTTCACATTTTACTCACAAAAAGGTCGTTTACAGCCAAGGCCATTGGCAATTTAGTTCAGTGCTTTCTTGCATTCTGTAGTACAATGGTTTGGTGAATACCTCATTCCCCTTTTTATGTTTATGCCATGAGGTAAAACTCATTTGGTCACTCCCTAAACAACTTTGTCTCTTCTTTACAGCAACAAAGATTTTGGGTCTTGATGAATCGGTTTTCAAAAATATGGATTGTATTGATCAATTGATTAATGATAACCAGAATACAGATGCAACTCAAGAAGCTGTAAGTAGAGAATTAGTCTGTTGATTGTGTACTCTGTATTAATTAGACTATTCTATTTTCTTTTCTTTTATTGATAGGACGTCGTTTTGAATACGAAAGAAGAAGATGACAAGTTACTGAAACATTTTGATAAAATATTAGAAAACGTCTCTACCAATGTCAAGTCTGCCTCTAGTAAGATTCTCTAATTTTTTTGTTGTTTGTTTTTCTAACAGCCTGTTTTTAATGCATTTCTTACACCATTTCTAGGTGACCAACTATGCAAATCAGAAACCCCTTTCGACGCATTTGAGGAAGAGACTCTCATGGAATTTATCGATGAGATGACTTCTCCTACTCAGATACTTGACTCCACCTTATCCGAATCACTCGATGCATCTTTACCTATGGCTCCCACCCCTACTCAAGCTATAATGGAGTCACGTACTACCCCACCTCAAAAGACAATTTCACCAGATGCAAATAAGCAGTCTAATTCTATGACTTCTACACCATTACCCCCCAGTTTACCCTCTAAAACTGTTGTGCTTCATAATCAACCCGTAAGACCAGCGTCTGTTTTATCTGTTACAATGCCCCAACAAGTGCAATCTTTTCATGAGCGCAATATTAGTTTGGTAGCTTTGCAAAATCAAACTTGTATTCCTCCACAAGTGCCCAATGTAATGACATCGATACATCAAACCTTGCCTCAGCGGCCAGCTAGTGTATTTGGCACTCACCCACAGCACCCAATGGAGTGTCAGAAACAGTGCTATAGCCACAGACCACAAAGCTGCCGCCCTGTACAGCATTTACCTGCCATGCAACATAAGCCCCAACTTCAGAGACCAGCTAGTGCGCTGGGACAATGGTCTGGTATGAGGGAATCTCATTCTCAGCCGACTTGTACTGAAAATCATTTTAACATGCGAAATAACATGGTATCTCCTAATTATTTTCATTACAACGCTGATCAACACGCTCAAAAAAAGCCTGATAGTAATTTTTATGCGAATAAAAATGCTTCCTCACAGCCTATGATACATCCTATGTCTTCTTACACACCAACCCCACCACCTATTCCGTACCAATTTCATATGGATGGAGGCCCCATGCCAATAGAACCCCCTTTGCAAGTGTTCCATACCCATGTACATCATCACCATCATGTACATTCTATAAATAATCAGCCCGATGCCGTTAACAATGGCCCAACACCGGCTCAACCAAAACATTTACAGCCCCCAAAAGTGAAAACAGAAAGGATACAACAGAATGTAAAAATGGAAAATAATCCCAACTCACCTTGGCCTAATTTGCAATCAACTGGGAAAGTCACACCAGTTCAAGCCAAAGGTTTGAAACCACCAGAAAAGCCAAGAACTAAAAAAGCCAATTTCTATGTTCCTAACTCACCCTTTCCATATCCTACAACAATTTCACCAATACAGACTGGACCTAAAGGGCTCGTTCAGACTTTGACATATGTTGAAACCACGATGGCACAGACTTTTGCCTCTGGTTCTCAAAGTGGAAAGCAACGCTTTCTTGCATTTGCAGGTGTAACACCAACACAACACCCTACAACGACTATCCTAACCCAAGCATCAGCTTCAATGAACCAACAGATGGCAATAGAAGTTCCATCAGTTCTTTTAAAAGGAAGTTGTCAGTCTGAGCATTATCAAGGTTTTTTCGAAAAGAGGCAAGGCAACTCTGCACCAATGGTATCTCGACCCAAAAAAATGTATAAACCTAGGTCCCGTAGTCGTCCACAAAATGCTAGAAATGTTTGGGACCCAACAGTACCTTTGCCAACTTTGGAAAACACTGACGTAGCAAAAGAACAACAGCTGACTGCGAAAACCCCATATGGATTGATGAAACAAAATTCACTGGTAGCACTAAAAAATCGCTCAGTTGTTGCCGCCAGCATTCCAGAAAGAAAACGCAAAACAATATCGGATTTTAGAACCCCACCCCCAAACACGCCCACTATTTCTTTAAGTGGGAATTCAACAACTCCCATTGTAGATTCCAATGCTGAAGCTTTTAATCTTTCTCAAGATATGTTCCAAAGCAAATCAGTATTACCTAATCAAAGCCAAAGTGGTATTCAAATCCAGCAAACTCAGAAGTCTGAAGCATTTTCAACGTACAACTTTACATTTGTTTCAAATAACGCAACAAAGACGCCCATTGACAACAATGATTGTAAAGGATTAAAATTAACTATTTGCAAGAATAATGTGCAAAAACAATCTAAGATTAATAAGTCTCGTCAAAGGCAAACTACATCGCAATTTCAGAAATTAGATTCAGACAATCGACCTATTCCTAATTCGGGAGAAGAGCTCATTTTGAATTTTGTAACAGGAGAATGGGAAGTCGCTCCTGCAGAAAAATCTCCCGAAGAAACAAGAATTTTGTCTCAACCAAATCAAGATATTGTAGCAGAAACAGACTTCAAATTTCAAATGCTCCCTACTCTGCCAAAAGGATCCACTATTTTGGGCGTGTCTAATCCAGCGAACTTATTAAAGAAATTGCACAAAGATCTTCCTAAAAGAGAAGTAAACCCAGAGCAAATCGCTAATGATGATATAGATGATTTTGCTGTTGCAAAAAGAAGAAAAAGAACATGCCAATCCGATCCTTCGGAGATAAAGCTGAATGCCAAATCAGAATACAGAGTGTCTTCTGTTGATTTATTTTCAGGTTCTCCAAAATTAACACTTAAAAAGACTTCCAGCGCCTCAAGAGGCAAACCTCAACTTTCGAAACTCGTGTCGGCTACAGAATCAGAAGAAACGAGCGCAAGACATGCAAAATGCAAGACAAAATCTGTTGATGATACGGATAGCTCCGATTCTGACTTTGCTCCAAGTGAAAGAAAAAAGCAAAGGCGCCTTTCGAAAAATATAAATTCTGATTCAGACTCTGACTTTATCATTAATGATGAGCCAGAAAATATTGACAACACATCAGAAGATGCTGGAAAAACTGAAATACTTCATACAATGACAGATAAAGTATCCCTCGAAAAGCACATGTCTAATATACAAAACATATATGTCTTGCAACCAAAATTTATTCCACAGAGTATATTAGTAGAACTAGATGTAACGCTGTTGGAAGCAGCTGTTATTGCCTTAGATAATAAAGTCACAGAGCAAAAACATGCAACTGTTCGTCAGTTTGGGGGTAAAAATTCTCGTGAAAAACCCGCTATGTCAAAACGGAAGATTACACCTATTTCTACTACTAGAAGTAAAAGTAAAAGTGAAAAATTATCACATTCCAAATCTAATGCATCAGAAACTGAGAAAAAGATCAAAGTTGACGAAACTCATAATAAAGAAACATCAGCTCCTATACCTCCTCTAAAAATTTTCCGACGCGGGAAAAGATTGAGTACTGAGCGTGCAGCACTCAAATCTGGAGTTGATGTATCTCCTGCAGAAAAGGCTTTCTCTGCAATCGGTGGGTGTTATTTATTGCTTTGATAACAAACATTGATGTTTAACCAAATAATATACTAGTATGAAAATAGTTTTTTGGATATTAAATATTTTCTGAATTGATCATGTTTACATGTATCACGAATCACAGAAGTAGCGTAGGGCTGCACAATTTTTCATTGTGGGCCACATTTGGCCTGAGGGCCGCAGGTTGCACGCCCCGTTCTAAATGATCTTATTTCAGTTATTAAAACATAATGAGTATTAAAATGGTTTGTTTGAGATTTTAATTTACCGAAATCCAAATTCCTTGATCATAATATTCAAAATGTTTTTTAGAATGAAGATCATCAAATATAATTTTTTCAGATTGGTTTATGTTATTATTGAAGATAACTATTGTCAGGTTTATGTTATTATTGAAGATAACTATTGTAATCGGCACTTGTATCATAATGATTCAATCTGCATATTTATGTTCTAGGTGACGTTCTTTGTAATACCCACTGTAACACACAAGAAAACTTAGAGATAAGTGATATGACAGAGATTCGGTCTCTTCTGGAGCAATGTTGTGATTCTGTTGCTAAAAAAATGCAAGTCGAAATCAAAGAGCAAATAGAACTCAATTCCAAAAGCGAAAAGGGGGCAAAGGATGACTCTCCTGATTTATTCCTGTCTGATAGTTCATTAATTAATATTGGCGTCAGCAAAACTGTGAATGATGTACCCAACATTGTTTGTACGAGACAAACAACCCAAATCAGAATGCAAATGAAGAAAAGTAGTGGTGATAAAACGGAACCCTGCGGCACACCCAACAGCCATAACATGCAAAACGATAAATCTGACCAAGATGGAGAAGACATTGTTGATCCACCAAGTCCGCCAGAAAAGAAGTCACGTAGTGCACGACAAAGTTGTTCTTTTAAAGATATGAAACATGTTTACAAACCAGCAATAAAACCACCATCAAGGCAGCAAGTTATGTCTGATGTTAGTGAACTGGGGTTGGCAAGTGACTCTACTTCAAAACCACCATTTTATGGAGATGCCAGTGATGCTCAAAGTACATGCCATAGGTCAGCATATCCTTCTTCGATTTGAAAAAAAAAAACTATTTTTTTATTGCAAAGAAATATATAATTTTTTACCTATTTTTGAATTTTTACAATTATTTATTTGAACAAATTGGTGCTCATCCTGCAATTGAACTCGGCTGATGCAAGTTCGTTTTATTTACAGACTGACAAATCTTGCCCCTTACATCAAGAAACCAAAACCGATAAAAACCCTCCAAGAACTAGAAGAATATCAATCAAAATTGCCAATCGAAGGCGGCCTTCACCATCATATGGTTATGGCAACTGCTTCGACACAATATACTTCTAGTGAAATTGCATTTTTGCGACAAAGGGCTTCGGATATACTGCCACCTAATGTTCGGGTATGGGATCACCTGGACGCTGTCACAAAACTTCCTCAATATCCTGACTTGATGAAGATATTCCTGCAGGATTCCGAAAAACGTGAAATTTTGCTGCGGCCTGCACTAAAGCCACCTACTCGAAAAGAAGTAGAAAAATGGTTGGATGAAAAACGTGCCAGAAAATTGGCACAAAACAGTGAACCCAAATCAGAAAATAAACCAGAGGAGAAAATTGATGTAGTTGAGTTAACAACTATGAGTGTAAATCATGCTACATCAACCCAGGATTTACTTTTTGAGATAACACCTAAACCCGCATTACGTAGGTCAATGTCTCTAACATCTCCTTGTACAAGTGGGAAAAACTTGAGCAGACGTCGAAGAGTTAGTTTTGACCTTTCAAATATAAGCCCGGAAAATAACAAGACATTTTCTCCTGTTCAAACGAGATCACAACGATTTAAAAAACGTAAATTAGGCACAATTGTAGGAAGTCCTTGCAAACGAACTATAAATATTGAAAATTCACCATTAACCGCAAAAGACCTTCCTTTTGCCAATCTCACTTCCCCAATTCAAAGTTTAAATCGAACAAGCTACTTGTTGAATAGTTTAATGCCCTTCAGTACTTCACCTTCGTTTTTATCATCTGTAAATGTACCAGTAACGCCAGAAGGAAGCAGCACTGCTATCAAGACATTAGTGGGGTCATCTGACACAGACAAAACATCCCCTTTAACTTTTTTAATATCTGGGTCCTTCACTCCACCCGATTCTTCAACACAGGACCCTAAGTTGAAGAATCGAGATGATCCCCTATTGTCGTCACTTAAAAAACTACCTCAAAGTACTCCTAATGTTACTGGAACACGTCAAAGGAAACATGCACTCAGAAAACTGGCATTCACACCTATTAAAACAAGTTTTACCGCTTCAAAAGAGCAAGATACTCCAATGAAGGAGCGAACTCCACCCCGTTTATCAAGGGAGACATCACCAGTAACGAAAACGTCTCAGGGTACCCCAACCACCAAAACAAGCTTACGAAAAATTGTCCTGGCCAAACAGTTTCAACCACCCAGCACAGTGAATGATCTAAAACTCCCATCTACTGAAGTGAAAGAACACTGTTCAAAACATTCTTTACGTAATAGTCCTTTAGTAATGGATACGCCACAAACAACTACAAAGAAAGAGGGATCTCAAATTGATGGACCTACTCTTGACAATACATATGGTTTCAAAGCTGCTCAACAACATCTTGGAGATGCAAAATCGCTGCATATTGTACAACATATAAAAACGGTACGTGTCATATAATGTGGTGCCCTGAACTATTCTTGTAATATGAATGTGATAGAAAATGATTATGCTCAAAATTCTACAATATGTATAATATAGGACTACACATACAAGCTTTCAAAACTTCTTAGGCATAAAGAATTATAGTGTATGCGTATTATTTTATCCTGTAAGATGACTTTGGATTTGAAATCATTGTTTATATTCTAAGTTTGACAAACTATGGGACAGATGAATCATTTTTGACTGCAATTTTTTCAATGCTCAAATGATTTCTGAAGTTTCAGAAATTAATGTTTTTATGTTAACTTCATTCCTACAAAAGAAATCCAAATTATATGAATTTTACAGACTATTTTTCTTGATATTCACGATTACCAGTTGACTTTTGGTAATACGAAGATTTTTATTCTTGAAATCTGTTAAATCCCATATTTTTTTTACATAAATTTCTTCTTTTTTTAGTTGAGCATTGAACTCCATGTGAAGACTCGGATTGACCTTCGACCTGATCCAGACATGGACGAAATCCGCTGTTTATTTTACTGCCTGGACAGTGATTCCTGGACAGGGACATCTCAAGGAATGAAAACCGGGGCTATTATAGTTGATATTGACTCCGTTAAAAAGGTATGATGATATTTATTGTTGTGAGGATTGAGGAACTTATCATTATACTAAATAATATGAGTGGTTCTTACATATCGCTAGATATTATAAAAAATATTTATAATCCATTTTTGGGGGCTCCTGAAGTATGCGAACCAAGATGGCGGACATCGGAATGTAATATGTGTACTAGGTTAGGGTTAGGCCATAATTTTAGGTACAAATACTACGAGAGGCACTTGGCTAATCTTCGAACTCATAGTAGGACTAAAATAAGGGAAATTGGAATAAAATTATGGCCTAACCTGTTACCCATGCTACGTTTCGATGTCCTGCATCTTGGTTCGCATACTTCAGGAGCACCCATTTTTGTTTTATATTTCTATTATATGAAGTAATGTATCTTGATATTCTCCGTGGTAATGTTGATATCATTATTTATTAGTAATATTTTTGTTATGCGATTGTCTCCTAATATTATTTGTCCTAATATAAAATAACTATTGATATTACAATTAAATCAGGTAGATTGAGCAATGGAATTCATGAATGTTGGGCATTAACCTTGTTATAGTTGGAATTTTATTAATGAAAAGCTAACAAAATCTTGAGAAATTTTTATTTTACTTTTCTTGATCTTAGGAATCTGAGATGCCAGATAGTCAAAAGCAATCGACTTCGAGATTGGACACAACAACATCGATTTCTAGAGAATTATTTAAAAAATCCGGCATCACTCATATTGACACTTTGTATGTGAGAACTGAGGCTGAATTGTTCTTACTATTCGCTCAATTAATACATGAGTGGGATCCCGATATTTTAGTCGGTATGTCTTATTGTTTCAGAACTATAGAGCAAAAATTAGACCTGAGCTATAAAGCATTTGTATAATTTATAATTTGTTTTTTCTAATTTTTGGTTATCTTATATACTCATACTAGGTCGTAATTTTTTGAACCAAAAATTGTAATAAAATCAGCCGTGCAACCCATGCAACTATGAATTTAGTTTTGATACAAATATAAAAATTAAAAAGGATATTAAATTTATGTGTAACGGGCAAAATAAATTGAAAATTCTTATAGCATATTTTTTTTGCTAATTTTATATCACTCGATTTATTATTATCAGGTTATGAAGTACAAATGTTGTCTTGGGGTTTTCTATTCCAACGTGCTGCTCATCTTCGATGTGATTTATGTCGTGCAATATCTAGAGTACCAGCAGATGAACAAAGAAATCGACATGCGGCTTCAGGAGATGCTTTCGGTGCAGACAATGCATCTGAATTGCATGTCGTAGGAAGGGTAAATATCAAGAGTGTTTTGACAATTGGCTAAGTTGTCGGTGTGATGACTTGTGGACTGTACTAGTCTGTAGCAAACTGGCTTATTTGTATGGTGATGGTTTGTTGAGAAGCAATTTTGACTCGACCCTCGACCCAGAAGGATTTCTGAACTTTGATAAAATCAAATTATGCTGGCGATGGCGTATGCAAGAATCTTTAATATACTGTTAAGAATGATTTGTAAACTTGATGTTTTTGAAGAAAATTCTAACTTTCATTATCATAATTAAAGAATTCAAAATTCCGATACCAAGTCCCGGCTCTGGGCAGTGTCAAAATACTACTCCGACTCGGCGCTCCAGAAGTGTGTGTACCAATATAGAGGTGACTAAGTTTGTTCGCCTACTCCACATGAAGTTGTGTAACAGGACTGAAACCTATGGGCAGGGGGTATATTCCCTTGGCTAACACAGACAGTCCCCGAATAGAACTAAAATAAGGAAATTCGGAATAAAATTATGGCCTAACCCTAACCCGGTGCACAAACTGTGGGAGTACCTCGACTCCAGTGAAAATATGCCTAACTTCGACTCTGCAGCCTTTTCATAGCAAGATTTATGATGACCTAGTAAAATCATTTTATATATTATAACAGCTCAGATGTGTGTACCCTTTTTATTGTTCAATATTATAAACGAGAATATCGGTTGGAAACCGAATACTTATCGATCGATAGTTAGGGGATCCCCCAAAACAGAAACTGCAGTTTTGATTCATCCGCTCGTGTAACTTGCGCACTGCGCATCGCACACACACACTCGGCGGGTCTCAAAATTCTCTCGCTTTACAAAAATCTAGATCACTTAATCAATAATTGATTGATAACTCGCTAATTATACGACATAATTCGCCCAAAATCAATAGGAATCTGGTCCGAGATAAGATGAATGCACATGCAAAATCTGGAGCAGATTCAATCTCGCTCTCGTGAGATATCGCGTGCATCTAACAGACACACAGACAGACATACATACAGACAAATACCTATCAATATACTTACCGATCTTAAGATCGATAAGTAATAATCTATTTAATATGTCTTATTATGTATTTCTATTTTTTGTAAAACTGAGTACTTCTATACTTTCAGTTGGTACTAAATTTATGGAGATTGATGAAAACAGAACTGGCTTTGTATGATTATACTTTTGAGAGTGTTGCATATCATCTCTTACATGAGAGACATCCATCCTACGACCATCAAACACTAACAAACTGGTACGATCCTCCATCTCGGGGTGGACAAGGTAAGCTTGCTATTTTCTACCTCAGAACAACAAGCATATATCTTATGGCTTATTAACAAGAGTAATGAAATCAAAGTTCAAAATAGTAAAAAAAACAAAATACTGGCTTTAGTCTCAACCCTGAAAGTAGGGTTTGTTAGGTTATTCCCTTTTTTGAGATTTATCCTGATATTTTCTTGTTTTCCAGTAACATTTTCTCATATTCATCGGTGGCGAGTCATTGATTATTATGTAACGAGAGTTCGAGCTAATTTACGACTTCTTCAACAACAAGATCTCGTTGATCGTACTTCTGAACTTGCTCGTCTATTTGGAATTCAGTTTTATGATGTTTTGACGAGGGGTACTCAGTTCAGGGTGAGTGGTCATCTTTAATTTTATGAAGTTTTTCTTAAATGCAAGGCTAGACTAGCAATTAGCTTTGTTTGTAGCAATCTACTATTTTTTAATTGTCCCAGAGTCAAATTTTCAAATTTTTTTTGGCAATATTCACACAGAAATTTCCGATAGTCTGAAGAAATCGAAAATACCTTTTCTCTCACTGCATTACCGTAAATAAATAATTTTTCTACAGGTTGAAAGCATGATGCTGCGCACCTCAAGAGCTCACAATCTTGTCGCCGTTACTCCTAGTACGTTGCAACGAGCACAGATGAGGGCCCCAGAAGTTATTGCTCTAGTTTTAGAACCTGAATCCAAATTTTACCATGTACCTGTCCTCATTCTGGATTTTCAAAGTCTTTACCCGTCTATGGTCATAGCTTACAACATCTGCTTTTCAACTTGTCTCGGAAGAGTAGAGCATTTGGGAAGGTAAGAGGTTTGCCTAGTAATGAAATAAGTATATATTTTTGGTGATATTCACCCCCAACTCTAGATCATGACTTTTGATGACGAAATATCACTAGTAATTCTAGTTTAAATTCAAGTATTTCAACTTCAGAACTTCAGAGTATTATGGAATATGATCCAAATTCACAAAAACCGGCAAAACATGGCAACTTTCTGCTCAAAAACTCCATTTTTAATACACTTGTAGAATTAATTCAAGGAAAATTTCTTTATTTTCAGTGATGCTGTGTTTACTTTCGGTTGCACATCTTTACGAGTTCCGGCCAAAACTCTGAGTAAACTTCTTCGAAAGAACTTGATTACGATCAACCCCAGTGGAGTCGCATTTGTAAAATCATCAGTACGAAAAGGAGTGATGCCTCAAATGCTTGATGTAAGTTTGTAATTTTTTTTCATCTTCACTGCAATGGGTTATTTTCGAACTTTTTATATTGAAAAATTCATTTTGTCAGAAAAATATTTTCAAATTTCACCGTTTTTTAAATGTTGAAATTGTCTAGTTACACATCAGAATCAAAATTAATTAAATATTGTTAACCCAGCCTGTCTGTTATTGAATGACTCCGAATGTGAGTGTGAATAAAGTTTGCTTCTTCGGCTCCACAATCCTGGTGTTTCAATGAAGGTCCTGCAACCTGTAATGTCAACATAGTGCCTCATAACTCTCTCTGTCTTTGAGCATACCAAATTATTCATTCGCTTGATCCTCACAACCATAACATTTTCTTTTGGCAGGAAATCTTGACCACTCGAATCATGGTGAAAAATTCAATGAAAAAACTCAGACCTGCAGATTCCGCTATAAAAAGAATGCTCGATCACAGGCAGCTTGGATTAAAATTGATTGCTAATGTTACTTATGGTTACACAGCTGCAAATTTTTCTGGAAGAATGCCTTGTGTAGAGGTTAGTATAATGTAGGATCACCATATTTGAAAAAGCAAAATTTCATACATCATTGTCTATTTTCATGACCTCGTAGTAAAAAATATGCGCACGGTACGAAATACCAATGTTCTTTATTAGCAGTGTGCACAGTACGATTGACACAGATGCAGTAAAATCCCGGATTCCGGAGATTTAGGCATTTTTTTAAATTCTTCCGGGACGCAAAATTTAACCCTAAATTACAGACATGTCCAGAATGTTTCTGACGGTATGGCAACCCTAGTATAATGATGTACGTATATTGAGATAGTGTCAGACTTTTTAAAGCTAGGAGTCTTATTTGAAGGAAAAATTTCATCGACATAGATAGGATAGGATTCACATATTTATCCTGGGGGAGAAGAAAGAAGGTAAGACGGCTTAATCATATGATGTACCTCTCATCCGGTTACCAGTCCATGTCAGGTATGGGATTAGTTAGCTAGTTATTTGTTTCAGATGCATGGACTCGATGGTGAAGAAATTTGTAGCTGACCAGCGATTTCATGAATCACCCTACGGCGGCAAGGAGTCCAGCAATCTCGTACATAATTATCGCCCGTGGGATTTGAACCTGCGAACTCACGCATGGTAATCAGTGGGGCGGTGGCGAGCGTATTCCTAATGCTTAGCGCAATGCGCCACACTGCCGAGCTAGGTGAATTCAAGTTTTCAATTAAAACTAGTTCTATTTGTTTCGGTAGTTTGCTCCCTGCATTTAAGGGTACGATGGATCAGTGGGTAAACGGTCGGATTTAACATAGTTGTCATTGCATATTATAAGTCATTGTTTCATACCCAAAACCAAGCATCTAACAAAGGATGTGATGAATTGGGTAGCAATGTTGAAATATAAAGATTCTACTTCTTTCAAATGCAGTATGTTAGTAACTGCTTGCTCAGAGCCTTGTTCAGGATGAGAGGCACATATAAATTATATATATATATATTCCTTTTGTGGTTTAAGGTGGTGATCAGAGTTGTTAGTAGAACCCATTTTTGCAATGAGCATTATTGTATGTACATCTTGACGACTAACTCAAATAAATAAAGTAATATGATAAATAAATAAAATTGAAAATAATGAATATTAAAATGAATAAAAGTTGTGTAATAAACCATCTAAATTTCAATTTTTTCTTACATTTCCTAGGTTGGGGATAGTATTGTTCACAAGGCTCGCGAAACTTTGGAACGTGCGATACGTCTTGTCACTAGAAATTCTGAACGATGGTGCAATGCAAGAGTTGTATATGGTGATACTGACAGTATGTTTGTCGCCCTCGAAGGCTTCAACAATTCAGGTTGCTCCAAAGATAAAGCTTTCAAGATTGGTAAAGAAATTGCAGCGGCAGTAACAGCAGACAACCCAACACCAGTCAAGTTGAAATTTGAAAAGGTAGATTTTCAGTTGTAATCTGATCTATAAGTCACTAAACTTCGAAAAAACGATTCATTCAATAAAGAATAAGTTCCTTTTGGTACAATTTTTGACGCTCCAGAAGTATGTGTACCAGTATGGAGGTAACTAATTATGTTTGCCTACTTTACATCAAGTTGTGTGAATGGACGAAAGCCTATGGGCAGGGGATATATTCATTTGCCTACAAAAAACAGTCCCCGAACTCATAGAACTAAAATAAGGAAAATCGAAATAAAATTATAGTCTGACCTTAACCTGGTATACATGCTATGGGAGTACCCAATCTGTTGAATTTTGAAGCAGATGATGTTAAAATGATTTTCTACTACGCTTGATGATGATGAAATCAAGCAATTGTCATAGTTCTTCTATTTATGGAAAATCTGTTGTCGAAAGCATATCTGAACCAACAACGGTAGTGTTGCAGTCTAGAGATCTCATTCATGCTTGTCACCTTATGATCTTATTTATCAGTAGGTACTTATCTAGAGTTTAAAGTATTGGCACAAAATGGCTCTTGTACCGAACTGGACAGATTTTGGTCCTTTCAAAACATAAGATATCCCTACTAATTACTATAGCAGCGTATGCTTGCATAGAGTCTTTGGAGTAAAGATGTGAATTTATCCATAAAAATATAGATATTTATGATGTCTTTTCTGATTACCATCCCTATTCTTGTCGTTTGTGCTATAACATTTTTTATTCTTCTACATAGGTATATTTGCCATGCGTGCTCCAAACGAAGAAACGTTATGTTGGATATTCGTATGAAACAGAAGATCAGGTTGAACCCATGTTCGATGCAAAAGGTATTGAAACTGTAAGACGAGATGGCACTCCGGGAACGTCTAAAATTTTAGAGAAAATGCTCAAAATTTTGTTCAACACAAGAGATGTTTCTCAGGTAATTAAGGCATCGTTAACACTGTTAGACACATCGATGTAAGGTTACATAGCAGGGGCAGCCAAGGTTTTCGGATCAGGGGCCAAAAATTTTGCCCACCTAGAATGGCGGGCCATGTAATTGTGACGTGAAAAGTTACATTTTATGAATATTCAGTGTTACAAAAGTAAATGCGGAAAACAAGCCTCGTGCCAAAACACAATTTAAATGCAATCCCAACAAATTCCATGAGCAATTTTTCAGCTAAAACATCAAAATTTGGTTTTAGTTGGGTTGGCATCAGGCGGGCCAGATTGAAATACGCAATGGGCCGAATTTGGCCCGCGGGCTGTAGTTTGTCCATGTTAGCCATAGTCTGGAAAACATGCCTCCTTTAATTGTCTGTTGAATATGTTCAGTAAACCTGATGCCCTTTTTCCCATCTCTCATTGCAAGAGAGGTGAGTTGCTAAGTTCGCACAATTTTCATGTGCAGCGTTTCTAATACACGACGCTCACTGTGTACTTATAATTGTCACCTACCTTCAAGTACGAGGTGCGGCTAAAATGAAACGGGACTGACGTCACAGATTGCGCAACACGATTAACCATCGGTAATCAACACTTTTGCAGTGTGGCGTAACATGTGTTCTTTGTTAACGGCTGTTTTGACACAATATTACAATTATTTTTGCTCTCCAGGGTCCATAAGTGAATGTGATAAATTGCTTGTTGAAAAAAAATGCTGTGCGAGGTCTGATTGAGTTTTTTGGCGATGGGGGGTTCAATTGCAGAATGATGATTGAGCAAAGAATTAACATTAAATTTTGTGTCAAACTTGGAAAAATGCATGTCAACTCGGCATGCATTCAATCGTTGAGCTTTCTGCTCCTCAGTCAACTCAAGAGCCTTTGGCATCATTTTGGCACACACCTTCCGCATTCCCAAAGTGTCAACCAAAATGGTGCGGACCGTTTCTTTGTCCATCCCAACTTCTTTGGCAATGACGCGAATTGTTAAGCGACGGTCACTGCGAACCAACTGCCGAACCTTTTTGATGTCGGTATCAGTTGTGGAAGTGCAGGGCCTCCCTGACTTTGGATCATTCTCAACATCTTCCCTGCCTTCCACAAATCGCTTGTGCCATTTAAAAACTCTTGTTCTGGACATGGAAAAATCTCCATAAACATCACGCAACATCTTCAAAGTCTCATTCGCCGTTTTTTCCGAGTTTGACACAAAATTTAGTATTAATTCTTCGCTCAATCGTCATTCTGCAATTGAACCCCCCCATCGCCAAAAAACTCAATCAGATCTCGTAAAGCAATTTTTTTTCAACAAGCAATTAATCACATTCACCTATGGCTCCTAAAAAGCAAAAATAATTGCGATATTGTGTCAAAACAGCTGTTAAACAAAGAACACATATTACGCCACACTGTAAACGTGCTGATTACCGGTGGTAAATCATGTTGCGCAATCTGTGACGTCTGTCCCGTTTCTTTTTAGCCTTACCTCGTATATATTTTGAATATTTCAAGTTTTTAAGACTGGACAAGTTACAGGGTATTTTATTGGGAGCTTTCCCTCCATTGCCTCTAGAGAATAGCGTTTAAAATACCTTTAATCCAAAAATTCATTCACTGAGCTAGGAGAGCAATGCTTCATTTGAATAACAGTATCTATGTGTACCATTTTTCATTTATTCAAACTCTTTGGGAATTGTTGGGAAATTGCAAAGTAGCAGTGGCTGCTATGGAATTAAATGATGCTCTTAATATGCCTGAAGCTGCTATATTATTTTTAAAAATTGAACAATTTATCCATTGTGTTTATATCTTACAGGTTAAGAAGTATGTTCTTAAACAATGCTCAAAACTTCTCGATGGTAAAACTACGCTTCAAGATTGCATTATTGCAAAAGAGTATCGCGGCAAACAGTACTACAAACCAGGAGCTGTTGTACCAGCGTTGAATATTGCAAGGTAGGGTTGTAATTTTTTAAACATGTTTTCAATTGTTATTGACTTTCATGTTGTTTTGGCTATAACAAAAAATACCTATCTTCAACTTCTGGTCATCGCTTAAAAAAATTTTCAGTTACTTTGCTCTTGCCATCTTTGTTTTACCCTGATTTTGGCTGTTTTTTTTAAGTGAGTTTAAAGCAAACTATTGCTTGGAGGGTATTCTTATATTGATGCCACTTTTTTTTTCAAAGTATTTGAGCGTGGCTATCTTGCTTTAGGCTAGGTTGTCTGAAGTGAGAATATGTGTGCTTGAATTGTTCGATGCAAAATTTTCAATATTTGATTTTACATGAAGCAATTATATTTGTATGTCATTCAATCTTCAATGTATCGAAAGCGATTGATACGCACAACTCACTATCTGCCTTTTGCATAATTCACAATATGTGTAAAAATATGTTTTAAAATGATTTCAAACATGTCAGAAATATTAGCAAATACGAGGTAAAATCCCTTGTTGGAAATGCTGGTTTCTTGGTTTCCACTTTTCATTATAATGGGGCAGATCCTCTGTGAGATAGAATCTCAAACTTTGAAAATTTATTTTCTTCCAACAGAAAGCTTATCGCTATGGATAAAAGAGCAGAGCCCAGAGTTGGAGAAAGAGTACCCTACGTTATTGTCCATGGGGCACCAGGGACCCCTTTATACCAACTTGTGCGTTCACCATTAGAAGTGTTAAAGGACCCATCCTTGCATTTGAATGGCGCTTACTACGTCTCAAAACAGGTATTTATTTCTATGTGATGCTTATAGGGGAATTTTGCGAGGCGAAAAACATCACTTTTTTTTTAAATAGCTGCTTGCACGATGCCTTATTTAGAGCAGCAATGTAAAAGACAATAAATAATGTCTACTAATAGGAATATAAATTCTTTATTATATTTCTATTTATTATAATATGACTTTTTTTTTTTTAGCTTTTACCAGCACTGGACAGAGTTCTCAGTTTACTGGGAGTGGATGTTTTCTTATGGTACAGACAATTACCAAGGTCTGTTAATATTGCACACAATCCTATCTTGGATAGCAGTCAAAATGTGGCTGGCAAAAAGGTATGAAAATTTTTCTCTCAAAAATTAAAGATATGTGATAGATACTATTATTAATCAGGCTTGTTGAATGAATTGTAAATATAATTCCATTTTTTAAATTACTTTACCATTTTTTTTATAACTTCAGTGGTGGAAGATGGTAGTGTCTTCTAGAATTACTGTTCTTTACTCTTACTTCTGTTTATTTTCAAACTTCATGCATATAGAATTCGAAATCTATTATTTATGCATTGCTTCACAGTATAGGAATAGGGTAGTAAAGTTTGGAAAAATTTACAATTCGACTCCTGAATGCGGGTCTATATCAGGATAATCCAGGATTTTGACTCTGACATCAATCAGAGAGATAATGTAAAATTTTGACTCGTGACACCACACAGCGCTGGGTACTCCCGTAGTATGTATACCAGGTTAGGGTTAGCCATAATTTTATTTAGATTTTCCTTGTTTTAGTTCTGTTTTGAGTTCGGGGACTGTATGTGTTAGCCAAGTGAAAAATGAATAACCCCCTGCACATTGGTTTCAGTCCCTTACACAACTTGATGTGAAGTAGGCGAACAAAGTTAGTTACCTCCATATTGGTACATACACTTCTGGACTATCTTAATTGAAATTTTTGTCTATCTTTACAGGCAACCATTTCACAATTTTTCAAATCGAAGCATTGTTTGATGTGTAAAAATCTTTCCATCAAATCAATTTGTGATGAATGTCTTGCAACTGATAATTCACGAAGACAAGCGACAGCAATTTCACTCAACATGGAAGCCAAAGCATTAGAGCAGAGAAGATATCACACTGAGCAGGTAGGTGATTTCAATCAGTTAAATATGTGATATAAGTCGACATTATATCAGTGTATTCTATAATTATGAATAATTTCCCAAAAGATTAACAAGTTCTTACAGACAAAATTGCTCTCACATTCTATGGCAGTTTAGTCAGAGTAAAGCTGTAATGCCCTACTCACCCTGGTTGAATGGGATGTGTTTCAATTTGTTATGAGCCTCATACAGATTGACCAAAAGTTCATTGATTAAATTTGATCTGTACAAAATTGCCATATGATCGAAGTCATTGTTGTGCCAGTATAATGTGTTGTGTTCCCAACAAAATAAGCTACAAATTTTTACATCCAACTTGATTTAATTTAAAATAATTACTAGATGTTCACAAAATTTTTTAAACTCAACTTAAGCTTCGGACTCCGAGTTCAGAGAAATTTCGGCTAAACACCAGCTCCAAGGAAACCGAATTTTAATAACAGAAACTTGCATACCTTGCAAACGTTCTTCAAATTTTCTGTTAAGAATGCCTAGTCAGCATAATAAGTTTCTGTGAGAAGATACGGCTTCGAATAAACACCATTTGAGAAATCTCAACTGCAAAGAATTCAAATTTTGACTCCCAGCTCTAGGGAATTCAAAAATACAATTCCAGCTCAAGTTACAGTCCCGTTTAAACTACAATTTTACTACTTTTTTCGATCAAAATTTTTGAAAAATTTTTTTTTTTACAGGTTTGCATGCAATGTACTGGCTCAGAGTCATCTTCTGATATCCGATGCGCTTCACTGGATTGTCCTATATTGTACAAACTACACAGAGCAATTGATGATTCGTCAAAAGCAAAAGTTATTCGCAAGGTGTTAGCTGCTGAAGATATGATGATGTAACTGAACTTTTCATATTCGCAATCATGTTTCCAATCTTTTTTTTGGCAATGCTTAGTTTAAATATTTTTTCATTCGAGCTTGCTATTGTTTCTTTCAAAATTTTTACATTTTATACTATCTCACTTTTTCTTTTATAATCGTGCACTATATGTGTTTGTTCCCAATCGTGTTATCAAGAAAGTTTCGTTTATATTCGTCTTTCGTTACATGTGAATGTGATATATTATTTGAAAAAAATGTGCTGTCTTTGGTCACATCTGAAGTTTTCTATTTCAAAATTTTTGTAGCTCACTATTGAAACGTTTCAATTGTTGTCATTTTTTATTGCTGAGGTTTGCTTCGTTCTGAATCACATCTCGTTCGAAAATCAACCTGACAGCTGAATATGCATTATCGAAATTCTTTTAAATGAAAATTCAGTTGATTTTCATTTGTCATTTATTCACTTACAATTGAGTATCGATTTTAATTGCTCTGAAACAGTAGGTACAGAAATAATGCCTAAATATTATTAATTCGCTATATTTTTTCTATTTTCAATATTGGGGGACCAAGAAATAATTTTTCGAATTTGCCCCAATAGTCATTTTGTCTCTGCTTCATGCCTTTTTTGAGATTTGCTATTAAAATTAAGGGCAATTAGCAGTTAAAATTCAGTGCTTTTAATACCATGTTATATATTCTATAGGTATTTTCTCTTTATCAGTATTTTATAAATATTGATTCACTTTAGCTGAGCTACTACCACTTGTGCCGTAGAAGCCTTTACTTTAGTGCTCTAGTTTTGCAACCTCACGTTTGCCTGCTGTGATTTTTCAAATGTCGATCAATGTATTAAAATATCTTTCCTTTGATTCATTTCTTTTTACTATTGCTTGTGCACATTTTCAGCATAATTTGAATTATGTATTTCCTAATTTCTTTACATTTCATTTCCAATAAATGAAACTTATATAACACTGTTGTTTCAGGACTGAGCGACATGGGGAATTAGGAATTAATTGTTCAGGTTACTTTCACATTGTACCGCAGCTTTGGATATTTTCCTACACCAAGTATCTGGAGTGATTAACCATAGTATACTCAACCGGTATGAGAAGCCATGGTTTGTCGAGGGATAAAAGTCGTTTTTTCCCCTCGATTGGTACAGAATAAAACACAGGTTTGACACTGCTGGTCTGGTCTGACAGTGCTATCCTTAATAAAAAACTGAATATTCATAATAGGAATGAATTTGTATTAGTTCGAGAAATTCAATAAAAATTAGTTAGCACAGGAAAGTAACTAAGGAACACATGAAAGTACTACAAAGCGACTTTTCGATCCAACAATAATTGAGAAAAGTGCTGCGCGCAACAACAATGCAAATAATAGTAGATTTGTCTTAATCATGTGATTCGTGTTGTATCATTATATAGATATATAACTTAATATATAAACTTCAAGTTCAAGCAGAAATCCCTAACTATTATGGACCTCAGTCTAAAGTGAGAATACAAAAACAATGAAATTATTCAGAATAGGGGACTATTGGGGTTTTGGTTAAGCTTTAGAAGAATTGTTGGAAATTAAACTTATGTATTGTAAACAAAGCATTATTGCACCTATTTATTATTGCAGAACATTTGGTAAGATGAAATTAAATACATGTATAACGATTCTTGCCGACTTGTCTTATAATACACATGCTGAGTGTAACACGATATATAATATAACCCTGATATATGAAAAAAATGTGTAAGATGAATTGTTAGCTTGAGTCAATTAACATAACGAGTTCAAAATTATATATCAAAATTTTTTCGACAAGTTCTTTAATTATTATATTTAAGGTTTCAATGATCTTGGAATATATGTTGTTGTATAACATTTTATGCTCCTAAAATAGCCAGGGCTAAGGAGCTAGAGAAAATCTACACAATACTCAAGAGACGTACAAAAAAATGACTCAGACTCCAAAAATTTGAACATTGATTTCAGGTTGAGAAAAAATTTTGACTCCAACTCAAGCTTCGTACCAAATTTTGGACATAATTATCAACATTAATAATACTCCATAATTTCAACTCTAAAACTGCATCTCCAAAGAGATTGATGTGAAAATTCATGTAAAATCTGATTCTACAGCATCATTTGTCGTCCAGTAATAAATGTGCAATTTCTTGAATAATATGTTTATTTTTTTGTAGATATAATTTAGTAGTCCATAACATGTCCACTAATTTTTCATCCTTTGTTTCATTCATAGCTATTTCTTCTTTCAATTGCGGAGTTAATCGGTAATATGGAACGTCTATAGAATCACACCAAGCAGTAACACGATCATGTATATGTCCGTCACATTCACATGCCGCATCGATCATGATCTGAGTGAGTTCTATCCCTGCAAATGCAGTACTGACCAAGTAGATGGGGTTGGTCGGTAAAGATATATCGACAGACTTCACCTTAATTACAGGAATTTTTCCTGTTCCTAGTGATATTACTAATCCCGGTTGTTGTATGTCATCCACTCGATTCATTTGTTTGAACGCTTTATTTTGTCGATGTATTTCAGTAAGTATATCCAAAGTTGGGTTGTTGGACATGAGTCCACCATCTACAAAATTTGCCATCGGCCGAAAATAAGTAGGTGCAGCACCACTGCTCCTCGCAACTTGCCACAGCGGAGTATCCATCGGGCTTGACAATATATTTTCAATTGATACTGATGCTGTGTTTTTCAATGGTCGATCTTTAACACTAGTTTTTGGCATCACTTCAAGTGCTGGTTCATAATTTCTAAAAAGGTGTAATTTCGCAGGACGTTGATCGGCAAGTACAGATGTTATTACAACTTTAGGGTGACTTTCTAAATCAGCTAATGTTGTGTTATCACCAAAAACACTTCTTAAAAAATTTTCCATAGGAACGGAATCATATGGCCTCGGACCAGAAAACACTTTGTCCTTTAAACGAAAATATATACTTTGGCAGTCAACAGCCTTGAGTCCCAAACTCAATGATAAAGCTAATATTCCCCCAGTGCTTGTACCACATATCCAGTCGAATAACTCCCTTGATTTTTTACCAGTTTCTTCTTCGATGGCTATCAGCATTTGAGTTAATACTAATCCTCTGATTCCACCTCCATCTAAGCATAATATTTTTGCTTTTGGAGGGCCCGACCCAGTACTTGTTTTTGGCATGCCCACACCGTCAAATGAGTGGAAAGAATTTGCTACATTTGGCACTTTCTCAGGGCCCAGATGGATTCCACCTACACTGGATAACAATTTCATAATTTCTTCTTTATTTGATTTAGAATTACGAATAGCGAGAAGTCCTGGAGTTTCACCAAAATCGTTTTTTGCCTCACAGTCCGCACCAAAAAGTAAAAGCATTTTAACGAGTTTTTCGTTATCATTAATTACAGCAAGATGCAATGGAGTGTTACCATTTTTACCTTTTACATTTATATCAGCATGAGAGAATATCAAGCCAATAGCAGCATCCAGTCGATCTTTAAGAACCATAACATGCAAAGGCATATCACCAGTGCAACTTGTATGAACAACCTTACTATTATGTTTGACTAGCAGGTTTACATCTTCTCCATTTCTGCACCAATGCATAGGAATGCTTTGATATTTACCACAAACATGATCAACTTGAGATGAGTCTTTTTCCAGAATGTATTCGATAAGTTTCCTATCACCATATTTTAAAGAGTAATGCAGCGGATACCCAATTTTGCTGCATTTGTTGAGACTTGCGCCAGCGTCGAGCAAAATTCTACAATTTTCAACTTTATTTGTTTTGCATGCAATATGCAATGCAGTTTCCCCTGCAACATTTTGAACATCAAGTGCATCTTTGTCCATTTTTCCACAAATGAATTTAACAAACTGTTTTGAGCATTTTGAAACCGCATAATGTAAGACAGTGTCACCATTTTCATCTTGTAATTTCAGATTACCTCCAATTAAAAAGCATTTTTCGAGCAAATCCAATCTATTTAAGTCACATGCAAGATGCATAGGTGATCTTGCTTTGTCACAAAACTGATTGTTAATCATATATCCAACTTGTTCCTTCGTTAAGACTTCGGAAAGTCCAGCTTGCACAGCAATATGAACGGATGACCACATTTCATATTGGCGAATACATTCACTTAAACTTGTCAAACGATTCGTGCTGTACCATTTTGGTAGATTTGGACAGAAACATGGCAAATGAGTTGACAAACAGCGGAAAGCTGTTTCTGCAGCAGAACGTTGAGACTTCGGCATACGAAACATTCGAATCAGCATATTCGTTCGTGTTGGATCCACAAGAATGCAATCAATAAAATTGTGTCGATGATATAGTTTTAATTGGCTATTTTGTTGAATTGGACTCAAATTGGAATACTCTGTTGTAGGTATTTCACTGACAACATGCGGATTACCCAATGCTCCAGATAGTCTGTTATATAACGTGGCAGCAAACTCCATTGTAACTTTTCATGGTAGACAAAGTTCTGGAGTAGAGGTTGTGATACTCCACCAGACTTAGAATAACAGCATAACAATATTTTAAGAAGTGGCCTCTGAAACAACCACTGAGTTAATACACCTCAATGGAAACAACATATGGTTTATAATTCAATAGGTCAAAGTTCAAAAGTTAGCTGCGCAGCTGACTAGCTGTACATTGTTATTTGGATACCTCACAAAGATTTGGTTAAATTTTTTTGGCGTGTGTTATTGTCTTTCGTATTTCATGTCATCTGAATGTTGTATTTCATGCTTTATAACTTTTCCTATTATACATAGATTTGTCACTGATACGGTCATATTTATTTTCATTATATTTACATATATACAGTCATATTTCAAGAGATGAGAAAACATATTAGTAAAAAGAATTATTGTTAACATAAAATGCATCATTGAAACACATAGAAGCTTTGTTTTATCAGCATACGATTAGTTATGTTCATTTTAATCTTACCATATGAAAATTGCTTTGAAAAAATTTGAACTATGAACCTAAACAATAACAGGGAATTCCCCCTGTCATACCGCGGGCAGGGGCACCAAATCGTTCTCCAGGACATCTCGCCCAACGAGGGAACTGCAGAACTGTGAAAATAATGAAAGGCCTCGATTCTGCGCTGAACTTCGCAGGTTGCGCTGCAATTGCTGCGTTATCCTTAAACGGGTGTTTGATATTATACAGACTATATCGTCGGAAACATATCAAAGATATTTGTCAAGAATGTGGAAAGTCAAATGCAGAATTTTGCAACGTCTTATTCTTTCCAGATAAGCAAATTCCGTGTTTCAAATATGTGTTGACACCACAGGTAAGCCAACATATCTTTATTATTTTTTGATTAATTGAAAAGTTCTATAACTTTGATAACTAGAAAAAATTCACGTGCTTGGGTAGAACGTAGAACCAGAACATTACACTTTGCAGCGTGTCAGTTGTTGAAGTCTCTCCAGGTTTAAGTAACCTGGATTGATCTCAAACTGACCCATAAAACAAGAAAGTGAGATGGAGCAGCATCAACACTTTCAGTTTGAACCCCCAGGGGTTCACGAGAAGATTTTCAGGGGTACTTGAATGACAGTTGAGTTTTTATGTGTTGCTATTTTCAATGTCCTTTACTATCAGAGAAAAATGCATGCCGATTGAAACTCAGCATGGATTTTCCCTGATCTTATGTTGTTGTGACTCAACAATGTGAAACCACAGCTTTTCTGCCAAACTTGGAAATCTCAAAAGACAATGTGTTGTTTTCTCCTCGAATTGAGAAACTTATTTGCAACAAACAGGACAGGGACACTAATGTTCTGTATAAATGAAATGAATACTTTTTTCTCAATATTATTTAAAACAGTGGTTCCCAACCTTTCTGACGGACCGGTAAAATTAAATAAAATGTACTCGCGGACCGGCAAAAATAAAATGAGTGGAATAGAAAATAATAACATATATTTGCGAATTGTTATGCAATGGTGGGCACTTGAAAACATTTCACATGAATAAAAACAAATAATGCGCCTGCCAAAAGTTTAAATAAGTAGATCAAACTTTCTCCTGAAAAAACTCATTCTTCTCGTTCTTATTAAAAAATATCAAAATACTTGTTTGTTAACTGATCTCATATTAATCCTTCTGCACGCATCAAACAAACCTGCAGAGTCGCAACAAGCTCATATTTTACTGGATGTCATGGCGAATCCCTGGAATATTATACTGTTCATGATTGTTTACAGGTTTGAACAACCCCTGTATTATACTATCAATCACAATCGGATGTTGATATTATTTTTTTATCTATTATAAAACTATGCATTCAGGGCTGCTCCAGGAAGTCTTGTCTTCATTCACACAATGAAAAGTCATCTTTCATTCAGTTGATCAGATATATTCTTCAGGCAAAAAAGTCGATTGATCTGTGTATGTTCAGTCTCACATGCCATGTAAGTATATTATTACCGTTCTTTTTTTCTTATGTTATATATTCTTGATTCTCATATTATTTCAGTTTACAAACTATTTGTTAGACTAAGAAACAGTACAGTTTCCAGGAATCCTAAATTTGTCTCATGTTTATGCAACATTTGGATACGTAAACTCGGTAATTTTCCTAATTTTTCAACTTTTTTGATACATTTTGATATGACCAAATCACTATATTAGCATTCGTTATGGTGGCTATAATAGTTTACTATTTTTTCATCAGGAGCTAGCAACTGCTGTTTTAATAAAGTATCGACTTGGAGCAAGAGTTCGGGTCATTTCTGATACAGAATATATGAATATGAGTGGATCAAAGATACAAACTTTCATGGAAGAAGGTGGGATGATAAGGAGAATAAGTATTTTATTAGATAGGCAATATTCATTGATTTGAGAGAATAAGGAATATTAAGTGAACCGCCAACTGGTGGTTGATGTTGAATGCGGTGGTAATATTGAGTTCCAAAAAACAGGACTTTTCCTGTTTTGATTAGCTGCGGAAATGTCTACATTTTCTGAAATTTTTTACAAAATCAGGAAAATGGTATAAATATTGAAATTTGTTTTTGACTTTCATGAGCATTATGTGTACAACATATTGTATCGCAGTGTTTTGCCTATTATATAAATAGTCATCTACTTTGGGACATAGGATGTTAATTGCATATCAGTAATGTCTCAGCTCTCAATATTAAATATCATTCCTATGGTAGGTACTACTGCTTGAAATCCTCAAGTTGGCAGTAGTGTGTTGATTTTTCACAAATTGTATCCTGATGTTACGATAGCGATGATCTTATACATGCAAATTAAAAAGGGCATCATGTCTATTTAAATCTATTTAAACATGATATACTCTACATTTGCATTCGTTTGGTCGTGCTTTGTGCTGCTTCCTAATTAACCATTCTACAACGCCATGATAAATCAGGTATTGATTATCATTCACATTTGCAAGTTGAAATATTTGCTGCAATGTGCAAGAATGAAAACATAATGTCTTTTCTTATACTGTTTGTTGCAAATATGCCTATTCGTGTTAACCAACGAAATCTCTTCTCTCACCCAGGAAATTATGATTTGAACAGATTTCTTCGAACTAGGGAAGTTTGTTACTTGTTCCACAAGATCTCTAATGAGGCATAACTGGTAAACATTTATGCTGCAATAACATCATGCAAACCTTGCAACTGATACATGATTTCAAACGCGTCCACGTGATTGCCATAATCATCTTTCACGTAATAATTAGCGGTGCAATGCGATTGTGTTTTGTACGATCCTGTAGACGTGTAGAGACTAATTTTATCCTACTTCGACTTCAGAGCTATTCTGAATCTACTCCAGATCCGACCCACAACTCCGGGCTTCACAAAAAACCTGACTCCCAACACCACACTCTACTTTTAAAACTCGCGTCAACGTCCAATTTAAACAGGACAAAATATTAGAATATGATTTACGTATTTATCCCGGGGGAAACCGAAGCCGATAAGACGACTTAATCACACGGCCTCTCGCCCATGTCGGGTATGGGATTAGTTTATTATTTGGTAATTTGTTTTAGATGCATGGACTTGGTGGTGGAGGAAGTCGTAACCCAGGGGTCGGCAACCTACGGCCCGCGTAGTAATATAATCGGACCAGCGACGCGTCACTGAATTTATTAACAAAACAGCTGTTTTGACGATTATATTCTTTACGTAACAGAATTTATTGTGAGACAGGTGTAGACTAAATTATATTATAATCTAGCCAGTATAAAATTCACAATTACTCGTTTAATTTGAATATAATTAGACGAATGGCAACAAAACGCAGAAAAGTTGATGCTAAGTGCAAAGGGTTCAATGGCGCCGAAAATATTCAAATGGTATTTTTTGAGATACAATGCAATGAAGAAATAAATCTATATTCTTTTCGAGAGATGTATCACTGCTTAATTTTTATTATTAAAAGTTTCATTCGTTCGGTTTTCAACTTTCTAAAAATATGCGCCAATCTTGCAATCCTTAATTTTGGCCCGCGAGCGACACAAGGTTGCCGACTCCTGTCGTAACCGATCAGCGGCGAATGCGTGAATGGCGGCGAAGAGTCCAGCAATCTTCTGGAACATAGTTATTCCTACCGGATTCGAACCTGCGATGGGTGTGATGGCGAGCGTATTACTAACACATAGCACGATGCACCACCACATCGCCGAACCTGCAAAACGTAATATGCAGTCTTTTTCGTTTTTTTCCGAATTGGATTACCCTAATACTCTTAACCTAATTAGTTCCTGTTTAAATTTGGGACTTCGGTCCAAGTCAGCAGCAATCTGTGATATAATATAAAATTGGGAACTATATATAATACCAGCACTTCTGCCGGTATCAAATTCACCAACACTGGTTTCTAACACGCATGCTTTCAGCGTTGTTGTGTTGCATTCGGTAATATCGCGATATTAGAAATAGCATTGTTTGAAACACTAGACAACTATATGATAATTCTGTTTTCTCTGTTTTGTTTACCGATTTCATTAAAAATAGGTTTCGAAGTATAGTGACAATTCTTGTAAAATTGTTCTATTTATCGCTAGAATTTGGAAATCAACCAAAACGTTATTTTTCCATAATTTTGCAATTTCGAAACTTGCGCATTGTATGTGGTGTGATTTTTATCTCGGTTTCCTGTTTCTTCCTACACGCTGTTGAAAAAATGAGATATTTAACTATTTTTCATGTCACCCATCTTTATCACAATAATTTTTCATCAAATCCAAGAATGAGAAAATGTAAATGCAAGTAAAGTTTCCGAATTTTGTTAACATTGTAAGCAATAAAACATTTAGGAAGTGTCAAAAACATCCAATTATTGACGCCTAATTTGCATACTGTACTAAACATTTATTTTTGATTGTTTTTGTCACGCTTATAATTTTTATTAGTATTTTATTTTGGGTCATTTAGCACAGAATGAAATTTGCTTGAATTTTGGCTTTTCATGTTGGCAAGTATTCAAGTTTTTGGAATAAGGTCAGATGCACTCGCTCAAATTCACGAACGACAGCTCATATTTATTATATCAATTTGAACAGGTAAAAACGAATCGAATATTCGTATCGTTATGTGCGGTATTTTCAAATTCTTGAATTGGATATAATCTAGAATTGTTTTATTTGAAAAATTATCATTTTAAGAAAATGGTGTCTCACAGTATGACTGAACACGCTTCCAATAAATTTTTCAAAATTGTTAAAAAATCATTTAAATTACCGTTGAATTTGGCTTTCCTGATTTTCCAAATTCAAACTGTTTGAATATACATTGGCCCTCCGCGTTCTTCATTGAACATGAGTACATAGAATGTATTTTATAATCAAAAATAAGTGTCACGTTAGTATGCGATTTCAGCGTCATGAAACTATAGTACGTGATCTTCCTTGCTCCACGCGATCCCAATCGCATGGAGCAGGGTATCCAAATTACGGCCCGCGGGCCGGATCTGGCCCACCAAAGTGCCCCATCCGTCCCACTTGTGCCAGTAGAAATTACGACCATAGTTTTAATGGATATAAATTTATGTTTAAAATGTCGATGGAAATAATGAATCGTCGACAAAAATAAATACCGTAATTCCTCATTTTTGAATATAATGTGTAAAACGAACCACATAATACCTCAAACTCACCCATCCGAATTTCCGAAGTATTAATCAAGGCGCCACTCGGCACACTAGAAGCTGTTACGCTAGTTATTCGAAAATAACTGTTTTGATTCGTAGTATCATATTGACCCTCCGACCCAATAACCAAGTCTATTATCTGTAATTGGCCCACTCGTGAAAGTAATTGTCCACTCCTGGCATAGAGGCATATTTATAAAATTCAGTTCGCAACCCAAACCCTATTCTCGTTGGTTAGGTTAATACTGAAATCTCAAAGATCCAATTTATTATCTAAAAATTGTGATGACGGGTTTCAGTAATACTGTGCTGCGGTAATTTCATATTCCAAGAATAAAATTTACATTTGTGTCAATATCGACCAACTAATAAACGAGAATATCGGTCGGAGCCCGAAGACTTATCGATCGAAAGTTAGGGGATCCCAAAACAGAATCTGCGGTTTCGATTCATGCGCTCTTACTCCATAGTGACATCGTGTGTCCCATCACTAATTGATTAATAACTCGCTAATTATACGACATCATCCAAAATCAATAGGCTTCTGATCCGAGATATGATGAATGCACATGCAAAATTTGAAGCAGATTCAACCTCGCTTTCGTGAGATATCGCGTGTATCTTACAGACAGACAAACAAACAGACAAATACCTATCAACATACTTACCGATCTTAAGATCGATAAGTAACGAAAGCATAGTCGCGGCATCATTCAATTATGTAAAAGGTACACACAAGCCAATAGTGACATTTTGACATTTAGGAATATATCCCAACTGCATGTTGTTTATCAGAAATGTCACGTATACAATGCTGCGCTCAGCTATGCCAACCAAATTGTATTTGGGCGGTTTCCAAGATTTCTTTGCATTGACGTTTGTATATTAAATAGTTTTTGAAATTATTTCATGATTCTCCTGATATCTATTTCAGAACTTGATTTACAAAATATATTTTCTATGTAAAATTTGATATTTTTGCCTATATATTGGTTTTGACAATAATAAGTTGATTTGCATCATTTAAAATTGAAATTAATTTATTGGAATAGAAACGTCAGTAGTCCCATTTGTCTATTTCCTAAAAGCAAACTCTATTTGTCATATACTTTACAATACTTAATTTACGTTTGAATATCGCCGAATCGTTCAAACCACAAATAAAACTTTTCAATTTTCTATATTTTACAGCTGAATTTCGCGTTAGCACTAATATAAGTGTTTTCTCGTTTATGAAGCTTGAACGAACGGATCATTGTGTTCTTATAAATACAATTTTACATGCCTTAAAAACATCCGGTCGTATTTTTAGATCAATTGCGATTAATTAACGTACCCGTCATAGTTTGTTTATTTTACGTTTTCATTGAAAGCTCCCGGTAGCGTTAACGGTGTCAATAACGCGGAAATGGTTTTGAATACTAATTGATGAATAAGAATATGTAATGGAGGTTTAATTACCAATTTGATTAGGCAATTGTCGTTCACGATGACATTGACAGTTGCAGCGGAAGACTTGGTGTGGGCGAACACATGTTGTGTTCGGATCCTATGCGACCACACCCGGGGTAAATTGGGTAGAGTAGACAATGCCGAACCGAGAGGATTCTGGTCCTTACAAAAAATACCCACCCCGTTTCTCAGTTTAGGCGGGCGATGTGAAGAATAATTTATATTATTATTGTTTTGATTAGATTCGTTTTGCTATCTAAACTCAAAAAGTGAAAAAAAAATCGCAAAAGCAACAATGCTGTGTTCTATTGGCGTTAAAAGGATATATTATTTGATTACTAGATGTGAACGACCTCCAAATATGAATTCTTTTGTTAAAAAAATAAACACATAGCTTTTACGGACATGTTTACTTTGCAAGATCTCCAGATATGCCTAAAATGTTTTCTGAAGAATTCCACTTCACGCGTATTTCTTTGGAATAAAGAAAGTTTTGTTCCGTTGCTTGAAGTAAATGAACATGGTCGGCGGGCACCTCTCTGGCCCAAAGGCGTGATCTCGTTGAACTATGGGTGGATTTGCTGACAATTTAGTCGTATATATTTCAGATCACAGTTTGTTGCCGAATTTGTCCCAGCTCTTGCGCCTCTGCCAAGCTCATCTCACACAGTTTCCAATGTCACGCGCGTAATTCAAACTTCGGGTATAGTTTTTGGACTGGGTTTTGTTTGGGTTTATTTTCGAGGAATCGGGTATTATTACAGCTTGATTAATACCTCCTTTTTAAAGACAATTTATGCATACTTGGGCACCAGCATCGATACGAGTTCTCGTATATTCCTATATCGAACCCTCTTGCCTCAAATTCGAAACATAAAGCCTCCAGCGAAATCTGATTCTTATTTGCTTTGAAGTATAGTTCTAAATCTAGAAAGGCCACGTTAGCGTTAGCGTTAGCTTGCTTCATTCCAACTCATGGTAGTACCGAACGAGACGTGCAACTTCGCATGTAATTTTCTTTTTAAAACAATAAAATCGATGCGTGTTTGCTCTCATTATTTAACGATGAATGATGGATGTAATCGGTGTTGGGATTTTTAGCCGTAGTGCGTATAAAAATGTTTGTTTAAATTTCCTAGTTTTTCGTTTTCATGTTGACCGTTGTGTTCTGCTAGTCCAAACAGGTCAAAATTGAATTAAAATAAGATAAATCATTTTTAACATTCCATTATGATTATTTTATGACGTCATATTGTGACCTGATTGAATATGAAAATCAGAAATTGCTTCCACGTATTGAATTGTTACTTTCCAAGAGTGAACTTTTATTTTAGTTTGTGTTCTGCAAATGACTGATTAATAGATAGGTAGTTGTAGAATTATCCAAAGTCACTCTCAATGACAATGAATAATGACTATTTTTGAGTTCATATAGTGGAAAGGTCATTCCATGAAATGTAGTTATGTATTCATGAAAACATCAACTGACCTATGTACCGGCAATTATAATGATCCATTCCTTGGCAGTTGTAAATGTCGGTGTTTTAGGGCCAATTTAGTCAATATCATATCGTCACGCTAATAACCGAATTGCGTAAGTCATTTTTAGCCGTTTCGAGAAAAACGTAAAAAACTTCCTAATGATATTGCTATGCCACTGAGAGTCGATAATTTGCCATGGTTCTATTTTTGATCGTAGTCGAATTTAAGTTAATTTGTATGACGCAGTCATGTGACGTCATAATAGCGCACTGTGACTTAGGCAGAAATGTGTCTATGACTATGGGACATACGGAATTTTGCAACTTGACCATATGTACCAGTCCTGAAAGAACCAAACAATCGAAAAACGAATGTAATTCTTAGTATATACGAAGTCTAATTCCCAAAATAGCTAATCTGTTTCAATTACATTTTTTTCATGTTTAAAAATATATATTTCATCAATACAACACGCTCTGCACATCCACCGAAATAAGAATAAAGTTAAATATAAAGAATAAAACAGCAATCTCAATCTAACCTTATATAAAAGCCAACAAGGTGAATTGGACTCGTACAGTGAATATCACAAGTGCACGCCTTCACATACTGTAGTATAAATTGAAATTTATAAGCGCTAAGCTAGAATCTGAGATGCAAAAACTCGAAAATCCTTCGCCGATGTTATATTGCCTTTGTGGCGTCACAATAGTGCTGCGTTAACAATGATAATTCATTATGACGAAACAATTGAACAAATTTGCATATCATACAAAATCTCCATTTTTATGGGTTTCGGAATTCTTAAAATAAAATCTGAGTTACATAAATACCTATTTTATGAAATCTCAAAACCGCCAAAAATGACTTACGCAATTCGGTTATTAGCGTGACGATATCATAACAAGTGTTGGTCATTTTTATAGACTAGAAGATCACCCAACATCTCTTAACAACGAATTTTTAGGTTGCAATATCGTCGGGGTATATAGTTATAGGTAAGAGTATATTCAGTCCACAACTGAACTAGTCATATAAGATATTTGTTTTTGAATGTCCTTTAGCAGTATGATATACAAGACTTAAGCTGACACAATATAAGCCCTTTTAATTCAATGATTTGCAAAGATGGATATTCGCCCAAATAAGACTGATTTGGTCCGATACCACTAGACATTTTTCGAAAAAGTATTTTTAAATCTTTACGTCTAAACAAATAAATTTTACCTGATTCTATTGATTGGTTATTAAGAGTAGATGATTTTTATAAATTTGTTACCAAAAAACGTGGCTTTTCATTTGTTACACAAAGTATAGGTGTTTTTATTAATTGGCTATCAAATTAACCTGTTTTTTACGAGTGTTTACACAAGCAAATTGATTTAATAAAGAGGGTGTAAAGGTATATAGGTTCAACTAGTTTTACCAAAGGTCTAAAAAAGGAAGGTTTAAAAATGGGTCGCGACAAGGTCGTCAATGCAAGGGAAATCTACGAGGAGAATGAAAAGTTTTTCAGCCTTCCAATCTTCCAATTTAGCTTCTTAACTCTGGTATTTAAAAACAATGAATTATAAAATTTTATTCACGGAAAGAACCGTCTTCAGCGCATTGTTACATCACAATTCTTATATGCCAGTCACGTGTCTTATTTTATGAGGTCGGTAACCATGTTTGTCGTGGCGTTGACCGCGCAGAGTGTAGTCTTAGTGTAGTGACTTGAAATAAATAAAAATGGGTGTCTTTTTAGTAATGTAAATTGTAATAGACGACGAAATGAAAACGCTCGACTCTCAACATTGGATGATTCAAGATCTAGACCTAGAGTAAATGTGACTTCATCTCGACGCACCATTTAATGCGAACGAAGCAGTGTGTGCACATTTGATGAGTGAAAAGTTGCATATTGCGACAGATACTGAAGGCCAGCTAGGATGTCGTATTTGCGACTGACAGCGGACGACGTTTCTGCAACAATTCGCGACGAGGTACGTGCGCGAGCAAGGATTTTCGGCACTGACAGTTATAAAAATTAAGCTCGCAATCGACTCGATTCTCTTGACGACTTGCGTATTGCGCTCAGTAAAATAGAGCTGTGTATTGAAGATATAACGAAAAGAAAATTTCAGTTTCATAAATCTCACCGAGTCAATGGACTGTTTCTAATAAATAGCTGTCTGAGTCAAACAGTGCTAACATCAAAAATACATTTTGCGATAAATAGGATAGGGTCGCGAGTAGACGTAAAACTCAGATTTGGGTCGCGCTCGAAAAAGTTTAAAAACCACTGGTTTATATGAAATATATAATTTTTGACAATATAACCCAGCCTAGCTGATATTGGAATAAGATAACAAAAATGTTTCTACTTTTATCATATAGATGCGAAACAGTAAGTCAAGTAACAAATTTGCGATTTCCTTAAATTTTTCCCCGTATTGGTGATAAGTCAATTACACTCTTATTTTTTATTGTTTAACTGGTATGTATATATCGTGTAGCCAACCAACTGATTTGGAAAGTGAACTCATATCGACAAATTTTCTGTCATCCAACTCATCGTGATGTTGCATTTTTGTTTCAAGTTCTTTCACGCCAGTCAAAACAAATAATTGAAAGTGATTCTACTTGTCGTTACATTCCTGATTCGGTTATGAATTTTAGTAAAATTCACCAAAATTATAAAGTATTTTTACAAAGAAATGCACTTATCGTAATTCTGTATGATTGAAATTAAACGCAAAGCTTGCACGAGATGCCTTTTAACGCTCATTTGAACGTGACCACGAAAACATGTTGCTAAAAGTAAATTCTCAGTTACAGAGGCTTTTCCAAGAAAGCTTCTGGCGTAAACATTCCGTTAACAAGAACAAAACTCAACCTTCAAAAATTGGATTTCAAAGTTGTTTACAGCAACAGAAACTATTCGCTCTGATTATACTACAGATTTCAATGACATGTTGGTTAAAGACGATTTTCATCCGACATCCAGTTAGTTTAATATGACATGTTTTGTCATAATGCAAACTATTAGAACAAGTCAAAATGTATATATTTGAAAATTTAGCAATCGACGAATATGTTGGATGACGCTAAAAATTATCGCTGCACGATTTACCAAAATAGGTTTTGGAATAGTGCACATCACTAGTTTGAAGTAGCAGAATCTCATTACACCTTATACAAGTTTTGCCGATCTTTCTGCGTCTGGAACCAAACTTTGCAAAAAAAGTGTTAAATTAGTATTATGTGAAATATTTTCTACGCTTTTGTGGCTATTGAAGCGTCGTTAGGGGGGGGGGGGGGGGGGGGGGGGGGGAGCTATCTGGAGCCTAAGCTACCAGATATTTTGTGGCTACAGCGCATAACCACCTAAATATTTTATATACAAACTCTAAAATCTATCCTTTCCTCCAGCGTATAATTTTTTTTAATTCAATTTTCAATATTAATTTCAATTTAATTCAAAAAAGTTTCAATTTCGATTTGTATAATTGAAAGTTTAATTTTAAAATTTAAGACCTTCATATCATCGTTTTAGTGACTAGTTCCACTTCTCAGTGTGACATAGGTAACACACAACCACAACAGTACATGAAACGAGGGGCTGGCTAACGTCTTCTAACTTTTTAATTTTCAGGAATCGCGGTTCGGCACGACCGTTCGTCCTATCTCATGCATCATAAGTTCGTGATAATTGATGAAAAAATAGTTATAACTGGATCTTTTAATTGGACACATGCAGCTGTTATAGGTAATAATTATGATGTTTGAAATCATTGTATCAGTTAATACCTATAAATATTGGTTAAATTTTCTTCTCATATCTAATGTTGTTGAACTAATCCTGTCCATATTCTTGAAGAACACTTGACCATTATCGAATAGGGATTATGTTTGGCGATTCCCAGCCAATACGGATATGAAAACCGGTTCGTTGAGTTCGTTTTGGAAATTTATTTATTTGTATTTTTATCACTTTTCATAAAAATGTTATTTATACTCGAATTCCAAAGTATATAGGTAACGATCGATATCTTCTTTCATTATCTTTTCTTCATCTATTCAAGGAAATTATGAGAATGTCGTTGCTACCAACAACCAAAAAATCGTTCAACCGTACATAGGTGAATTCGATCGTTTGTGGGAACTATTCGATGCTGAACATGACGAACAAGGAAAAACCGTTATCAGGAATAATCTGTTAGGAAAAGGTGATATGTACTATCACAAGTGATTCTGATAATGCGTAGCAACGAGAGTGGTATCACTATAAGGATATTCCTTGCGATTACCTCTGTTTTGTTCACGGCAAAATGATATTTTCTGACTGCCAATCAGAAAGGGTGGCTTGAATGTTTTTTTAGAATCTCTCGTCAGACTAAATTTTAATTGCAAATGTATATATATACCTCGTCAATGTGACAAACGTTTTCAATACAATGCCAACTTCTGGTAATCGTTTTGAAGCAGAAAAGATGCTCAACAAATATTGCCCACGATGTACCGGTTTAGTTACATTAATTCTATTACTGTACAAATTCGACTTTATGGATTCGAATTAAATTCCCCCCCTTTTCGGTACTTTACGTACCGGTAACTGTTTTCCAATTGTACTGACACGTACCGATTCTAGAACTAAAAGCACTAGAGTTTAATTTGAAACAAGCAAGTCTTGGCATCTCCGAAATTTCCGACAGCATTGCTCTTGATTTTTTTCAAATGTCTAACCATTAGCTTGGTTTGAAAAAAAATGCATAACAAATTCAAGGTTTGAATAAGAAAAAATTCTACCTAATGATAAATAGATTTTTCGATTCGTTTTACTAGGTGAATCGTTATAATTTTTATGACTTTTTTTGTCTCCTGTAATTGCAAACATGCCAATGTTAATATCCGGCAGGTGATTGGCAATGTGTTTAGCAAAACATCGTCTTTTGTTTGAGAATCGAACGAAGAAATGGCATCGAAATGATTGTTTATCACGATCAAAATATTCGCTATTCATAATCTTGATTTCGACTTCCTTTCGTGCCTCGTCCCAACGATCATTAATTCCGTCGTATTGTGCGGAATGACTTGCAAAAATAAATAGAACAAACATAGATTGTGTACGGGATTAAAAAGGCTACGGCCATTTTGCTTTCCGAAAATTACCCGGATTTTTGTTTTTAAACGGTTTAAAAATTTGTTTTAGCGTTACACGAGAGAAAATAATGTCGGACGGAGATATGCTTTGACCTTCTGTTAAATTTTGGTAATTTTCTGCACATAATATGAGACTGTGATGAATCGTGTTTACAGAATTTTATTTGAACCTAAACAATTAGATATTATTTAAAACCATTAGAAAGTTATTACATAAGGGGTGAACCGGAAAGATTCTGGGTGTTCCATTGTATAAAATTTACATACACATCATGCGACTCTTTTGCAGTATCTTATCCGAAGCGAATATGTGGAACGCCTCCAAATAAATAAATTTTATTTGCACCCATAATGTAAGACGATGGATAGGTGAAATAAAACGTGAGAATTGATTAATTTAAAGTGTTCAAATCGCCATTCATTCAAACTCGCGCTTGCGCTTATTTAGATTCCGAACGAATTTGCCGACTCTGCATGATTTCTAATTTTTCATCAGGCTTTTCGAAATTGAAAGTAATTATTTTAAGTAATTAATCATTGTTACACAATAATTATAGTTTAAAATACCACGTCTTGCCAGCTGGTAAACTTTTATCTCTGACAAACGAAAATTAGGAATAGTGTAATGCTGATTATTCAAAAATTAATATTTCGTCCTGGGGTGGAATGTAACCTTTGAACCGGACTGTGCATTGGATTTGTAGAATAAAAATACATCTACTTGTGACAAAATGGCAACAAATGTGTCTATATTTTATAGTAATAATTTTTGTCTTAATTATGGCCTGCTCCAAATTACTACGAAGTTAGGCAGAATTTGGTTCTATTCTGGTCTGGAAAAAATGCTAACTCGATTTAATATTTCTAGTGTTTTTTAGGTAGAATGTTGCATTTTTAAAAGTAAATTCACATTCTTCGTTTTAAAAGTTTTCAAAATATCAGTACACTTTCCTTAGCGTTATTTTCATTCAGTTTTCATATTTTTTTTTTGCCTAGACACATAAAGTGGATCAGGGATCCTGCCCTTTTCTTTAGTTCATTACTTGATTTTCTTTTTTAATATTGCTTCAGCCACTTTCGTTTTAATATTAAAATGAGAAAAGTAACGAAAATTGTATTTTATTGATGTGTGATGGAACGTGTAATATGGTGATTCTTGTAATTTGTAACGGCATATCTTAGTCAATTCTTAAATTGATTTTTAGGATGCATTTTATACATCGAAGCATCGAAAGTTAGCGCTATACACATTCTTTGAAAATCACTCCCCCGTTCGATTAGGTGATTGCTCATACTACCTACAAAGAGTGAAAAAGACCAAGCCCTAATAAGGATATAGATTCAAGCTGCATGAAAATTTTCAGCGTTTCCGTTTTCGTACATATGATTAGGCGTATATTTAAAACTACTTTAAATACCAATATAGTTTCAACTACAAAAACAAACAATTCGCATTCCTTATCTATTAATCAACATATTTTGTAGATTATTACGTGAAATATAGACTAATCTGATGAATGGCTACAAGGTCATTAAATAGAATACCGACTTTTCCGTATATTATTCTTAGATCAACTGCTGATAAAATTGGGATTTCTACCATTGTTACTATACTTGAAATATTAAGTTTTTACTGAAGAGTTTGTATTGACAATTTGTATTGTTGTCATTTCGCCATCGTAAGAAAAGTTTGATATAGTACAAAAGTATTATTACGAAGAGAACCAAGTCAAAAGTATCAAATATTCGTTTGATTTTCATTATGTTCTACCAATTGAATTAGGAATGACGGTATATACACGAAAGTAGCCATTATGTTAGTCCGGTACTTTTACGAGTACGATTCAGCTATCGCCCGAGGAAAAATATTTCAAATATTTCAATCTAGTTCAAGTGATACCTGACAGTTTAAAAACAAACAAATCACATCGTTGCAAGCAATTAATCTCGTTAAATACGAGGACAATTTTTCATAAAATATTCATTTAATTTAGTATGTGCCACTTGCATGTATATATAAAATTTTAATGATATTTTTACAGTTATTTGGTGTCCCAGTTAGAAAAATATAGCTCTGATGTAAGCTCACAGCAATATTACAATATTCGTGACTCGAAAGAAAAAGATTCAGATCACATGCCACTGCTTTGAATATATATATATATCTAAAATTATTCATATATATATTTATAAAATATTTAAAAGCGTCATAAAATTTTCGATCCTGAGCAATTAAGCCAATTTACATCAAAATAAGTATTTTCCAGCTTAATTTATAATGTGATTTTGCGAAAATTCGCCTGATCTGTACATAAACCATTGTGCATGCTACAGGTTTCTCCTTTAGGATAGTTCATTTGCATAAGACACTTTTTAGTTTTGTTGAAGCGTCATTTTGAAACGATCATTGTCATCTTACACTCGAAATTAGTAATATAATATTGGAAATTTTATGCCGAAATCAAATGCACTGGCCAGTAAGTACAAAAGTTCATGATGACCTGTGATTTAATAATGACAAGGCCTTTTTTAATCGGTGAAATGGTTAGAATTTATAATAACAAACCTAGCATCCTGCATTTTTAGTTTGCCATACCGTAATAGAAGATGTTTTCATTTTCTGTGGTCACCAAAAATAGCACATTTCTATCTTCTTAAATGACTGGTACGAACATAATTAAACTCTTTATGAGATGCATACCTAGCATTTTTTTTATTTTCAGTAGAAACTATTAGTGCCTTGAGTTTTATTAACGAGTTAAAACATGTTGTAATTTATAAAATGCGACATCATGCTTATAATATCGCATAATCACGTCATAATTAATTTTAAAAAATTCGCATCATTTCGAATAACATGAATTATAAACTTTTTATTCGTAAAATAAGAAATATAACACAAAATTACGTTCTGACACTTCAATTGAAAAGAGAAAGTAGTTATGTATAACTATAAGTATGAAATAGAAAATATAATTTGTTAATGGCAAGTTTTCAATTATATTAATAGATACATTGATAAATACTGTTAACGATTATTACTATGCGTTGCGATTATCGTAACTATTTGAATCGACATTTTGAATGTCACAAAAAAAAATATTTATTTATATCTCATCAAAATGCATTAATATTTCATTTACGACAAGTTAATATTATTTAATATCGCCAAACTGAATATAATAAATCGTAAAATCATATCACTTATCACCATGCTTTATATAAATTGTAAAAAAAGGTGCTTCCATTTTAAGAACATCGTATCAAAGTTGAATGTGTTCCTTTGTAACCTAAAGGTAGGAATATTAACAAGGGTAACTAACGATCCCTTTTCAATAATCTGAAAACGAACGTTCGCCTCTAAATGAATTGGAAAATTTCTGTGCTCTGTAAATTATAAATCTAAAACAATCAGGCGGATAATTATGTTACTTTTAGAAAATTTCATTTTAAATGTGACTTTCGTCAAAGCATAACACATCTAAATTTTCACTGGCAAAATTTCAGAAAAACGTAACATAAATAAACTGGTGTCCTGACGGTGGAATCGTGCAAAAGTATAGCGTCAACTGATCAATAAAAATACTTAAATTGACGTGGCGTCAAAAAATTTTGTCGTGTCAAGTTACATGTTGAGGTAACAAGTAATTATGTGGAGTTGAGAACTTTTCTGATTATTTATTGATCAAAGGTAATCGTTTATTATATTTTAACTTAGAGCAATTTGAGACCAGATATCATAGAAAGATAAAAATGAGGCTTTGATGAAACCTATAGTCTTGAACAGGGCATAATTCGAATGGCGAAATCACCATTCTTTTCATTATTTTCGGCCGTTTGATATACCTGTATCAACTGTAGTATTCAGAACCAAATAGGGTAGAGGCAAGTAATTTAGCCTGTCGAATATATATGCAGTTGGCTTTGCTTGTAGTCGTTATACGATTTACACCTCTTTGACTTGATTCTTTGTGTTAAAGCACACATATTTTAGGATGTTAAAATAAAAGATTTGAAGGTACAAGAGATCAGAGGCAAGATTTTAACTCATACACGTCTTACATGAGAGTAAGCCGATCGTTTTTTATATAAATAAATACAAGATCGCACGAGCGATAAACATTCTCTTGAAAACTAAGGTAAATTATAAAGTGAATTATTATTAAGTAAAGGAGAGTTTATAATCATGTGAAATCTATAATATAATGATGGCTACTGTGTACCATGTTGATATTGTATCAATTCAGTTATAGGTCAATTCACACATGAAGTGCGCGCCATGTCGCTTGGCACATGTTCTGATCCATACGATCTTGTTGTTGCATAATGTTCTCAAAATCATTTTTTCGTCATGTATTTCTAATAAAACGAATAAACACTTTTTTGATTATTAATGTGCTAATAATGATCTCTTTCGGGTCAGTACAAACTCAATGATCGATTATCATAAATTACATTTCACATTAATTACGTGATACTACTAAATGCCGGTTGTAATTAATGACTTCGTGGGATAGAGTTGTTTTCAATTTATTTTAAATTTGTGATAGTTCGTTTTATAGGTTACCTTCGTATCATCGTGACTTGCAGAAAGCTAATAGTTGCAAATTGACATGATTTTTTCGGTATTGCTTCAAAGTACTGCCTAAAAACACTGCGTAAATTTACTCGTTTTTTTCGTATCAATGTAAACCATGAATATGAAAATTTTGCAACCAAATATCAAGTTGGACACGTCCAGGTGCAGCAAAATATATCGATTTTTATCAATCCAGGCCATGAAGGGATTTTTTCGTATTCTTTGCATGTCGCATAACGCAAAAATTGTATTTAAGTGAACTGAATTGTTTTACAATTCACCCATCGGCAAAAAAAGTCGAAACTGCGATTCAGAATTTCTCGTCAGAGTATATAAAGCGATATCCGCTGATTAGATTGCCTAGAGCAACAGATTTAACCTCACTGAAGATGTAAGCTAGTAAGTATTCAGGCTGCTGATTGCGGCTTCGATTTAATGAGTTAGCTGTGAAAACATTACAGCTGTTCGGTGTATATAATAATGTAATGTATATAATATTCTTGGTCTCGATTTGGTAAAATACTGAGACAAAGAATTCAGAATTTGTTTTCTCCTCCGAAGTATTAATTCATTTGGGAGTCAGTAAATAAATATTTCAGTAATTAAAAACCGTTTGCTTGTCATAATAGAAAAATAGTCGAAGATTTAGTTGATCGCATTAATAAGGCGTTCGACAACGATAGCCTCACGGGAAATTAGAAATGTTTACAAAATGACATGTTAGCACGCCTGTAGTCCCCGAAACAAGTTTTGAACGTGTATATGTGTAAATCATGGCCAGCAGCAATATACCCTTCATACACAATCGAAACTATTAGATAAGGTATTATCCTGTCAGATTGATCCGAACTTTTTTCACAATTGATTACCGAAACAAATTATAAATTTCGGTCGTTTCACCAATAGGAATAGATTATTCGTAAACGCTAATAATATAAATTTGATGCGCGCATTGCTTATGGATCGTATGTGTTATGTCGCTGTTCATAGCCAGTTTTAGTAGTTAATACTAGTTCTTCATTCTGTGTTGGCTGAGTTACCTATCTAAGGCTATATTGTGAAAAATAAAACGCTTTTTGTATTGTGCTCAAGCATTACTATAAGACGCCGTCGCAAAATTTATTTACGAAAACAAAACAGTTACTGAAGCAAGTCACACTATGTATATATATATATATATATGAGCTGATCAACGAACGATGATGTACGTATTAGTATTGTATTCCAACTGAAATGTAAAAGGAATAAGACAAATATATAATTAAAATAATTAATAATAATTAAACTTATATATACGTCTTATTAGGTTTCCTAAAAGTAAAGTTACGAAAGTTTAAACGCAAATATGTCACTCTTGCTTGGCGATTCTTCCGACGGCAACAATGACGAATTGTTGTTTGGTGACACATCTTCGAATACAGGGACGAATAACGGTGGTCTTCTTTTTGGAAATGAAAATTCCGACGAGCAAGGCGGCGGCCTCCTCTTTGAGAATGAAAACTCAAACAGTCCAGACGGTGGTCTATTGTTAGATGATTCAAATGATGAAGGAATTTTATTAAATGACAACAATGGTAATGGTGGTGGTGGTCTGCTATTTGACAATGATAACCAACCTATCAACACCGACAACGGCTTGCTATTTGGCGATGGAGGAAGGTCTAACACTGGAGGAATACCATTTGTGTCTGTTGCCGAGCCAGAACCCGAAGGGGAGCCTGAGGGATACCCTGAACTGGAACAATTCACCGTCACAGTTGACAAATGCAAACGAGAATGGAATCCGTGGGCAGAACCGGAACCTGAAGGAGAGCCAGAAGGGGTTTACCGACCGTACGCTGAGCCGCCAGCACCAATGCTCCAACCAAGCGGATATAGGGAGCGAGGAACATACAGTACCCTTGCGGCTGTTGTAGCAACGCTTATCATTGTATTGAATATAGTGGTCCTAGTTGTGCTCTCCAGGAAACCGAAACAAAGGAAGTCATTGTCGTGTTTGATCGGATTGATCGCAGGTAACTTGTCATACTTTATGAGAATTTTTACCGAATAAGCTTCTGTACAAACGATCAGTTGGAGGTAACTATAAAGTAACTAGTAATTCCTGAAATCACTAAAATCTTTCTTTAGTAATGACACAACAGTTTGGTTAATGGTGCCAATTTCCACCTGTAGAGTGCATATTGTGCTGATTTATCTGTCAGCAAGTTTGATTCATTATACTACGAATATTTCATGATTAAACCAGTTAGCTCATCCTCAGATTCGGCGTCGTAACGTTATCATCAATTATGTTTTGGTAATAAACAGGCAGATTGGTGACATTCTGGAGTAAGATTGTAGTTAAAATTTATATATTTAATAATTGAAATTTTACAGCATTCGACATTGTTGGTGGATTGCAATTTCTCTGGTTTAGCAGTTTTGACGTCCAACTCATGTTTACGCACGCTGACATGTGGATTATAGTGATGTGTGGAATTTGGATGTTGACTATGGCTCCTCAGATATCAGCTATGATGCATTTCGGTCTTCACTTGTAAGAATTTATCTTTACACTTTAATGAAAATTCTTTGTAAAACTAGATTTTGTATATACCACGTCTTAGAGGAAGTCTATATTTTTGATACAATAATCTTAAGTGTTAGTCTTCGTCTTCTTAATAGATTCTCTATAGGGTGCTCCAGAAGTATGCGCACCAAGATGTCTCACAAGCTGAATCCTAACCGGTACACACATACTATGTCCCGGTTGTGCGCCATCTTGGTGCGCTTACTTCAGGACGTACTCTCTATACAATTTAAATTCTCGTGTTACAAGATTGATTCCTAACAATGATTTGGTTTTATTTTAGGTGTAGTTAAGCATTGTCGAATGATATTTTATTTCAATTTTTTATATTCTAATAAAACCCATTGTTTTGACATATTCAGATTGGATGAATTACAAGTCGGTGTAAACAATGCTAAAATATCGTCTGGAAGAATAATATTCATTGTTTTGACCGTTTTTGTACTTCCTGTCGGTTTGTTCATACCACCGCTGGCAGGATGGAACTGCATTGGTTGTCGTAGTAAGTTATCATACTTATTCAGAATTATCTGACATTATAACAAGACAGAAATGAACTAAACTGCTGTCATGTAAACACAGTACGCCGATTCGTCGAACGACCAGCAAAAAAAAAATTGTACACTTCGTTCCAACAAAAATTTTCCAAGACGATCCATAGGTTTAGTTTGTGATCAAAATCTACTAAATTGCCATTCTCATTTAGTTCTTTACATAATCCCATAATTTTTTCTAGATTTCTTGTACATATGTAATGTTGGTTTGTAGTAATGTATGATTTAAGTGGTTAGTGTTTGCGAAGTGTTAAATATTCTGTGAAAGTGTAAAAGCAATGGCAGAGTTGTGAATTTCTTCAGATTTTGGATGGAGAAACCTCGGCCCATGAACCACACAAGCCCAAAAAGAGGCACATGCTTGTAGATTCAAAGTTGTGTCGAGCGCCATCTAGCGATATGTAATTTCGAAAGTCTTCAATATTAGCGAAAACCTCAATTAAAAAACAGCCAGGAGATTTAAAAAAAATCATTTTTATTATAATGTACAATTTTTTCCAGGCCCTCTAGATGACTATTACTATTGCGCACGGAAATGCTCAATGGCAATCTTTCCATTTACTAAAATTTACGTTCTATTGATGGTTGTTCTTTTGTTTGCTGCCATGGTGATCGTCATCTCAATTTACACTACTATATACGTCACAATGTGTCAGAAGTAAGTTGAACAATCAAAATCTACCTAAGTTTCATAGTTATCAAACTAAGTTTAAAAAAATCAAATTCCTATTTAGAAAATGTGAAAGGAGATTGAGTCCTAAATCTGGCAAGGCTGATGTGGTGAAAACGACAATGTTACTTCTCGTCGCATATATATTATGCGTCTTACCGGTTTCAATAGTGATGGTCTTCGATTACGTTAATTACAAATGCGATCCTCATATCATAAACGCTTTCCATGTAAGTAAAAAAAGAACCTCCTTAACAAATTAATACTATTTCAACTATCACTATTAGAGTTTAACGGATTAGACTAATTTGCATAAAACGTTGACGTCTGGTGGTTGTTTATTTTGTTATATTGGATTTCTTTATTCGGATAGTTTATTGAACGTATCAATCCACGGAGCATACCTGTAAATTTTCTTCATTTTTTGGTCGTATTACACTATCGCCATGAATCAATTTTTCGAACTTTACACAACCTTGGAACATTTATCATCATTTTTCAGTGATCAATCAAGCTGTATGGCAGCCTAGAGTAGGCCATTCAAATATCGATCGATACTATATATATCCATTCACATTCCAAATCGAAAGTTTCATTCGGAATAAAGACACATATAACTGACAAACACATAGCTTTAAAAATAGATCAAAATTGAATTTCAACATTTTCTATTTTGATTAATCACACACAAATAGGACAGAATACTAAGAGTAATGTCAAAGCAAATGACACCAACTCATTACTGATAATTCTTTTTGTAGGGAACGCTATTTGTAAGTTTTTTGAGTAATCTGGCGAACCCAATAATCGTTTTCACTTGCCTGCCATCGATGAGAAATACGAAGAAGCAAGTAAAAGTTGAAGACAATGGAAGTTTAAAAAGAATTTCCAGCTCATCGACAGAAGAGAATGGAATAAATGGGGTAAGTTTTTGCGAATGAGCACGATTTTTCAAGCCGCCAAGATGTGTCCTTATCAATTGAATGTGTAGACGGCGACTTGCTGTTTACCATAAATATTAACGTTTTATACCATGTGCTAAACTGTTCCCCCAGATATACATAATAAATAAAACACAATATATTGGGACATTATAGCACTGTTAAGATGTCAGCGATTACTCGTTTCTTGTGCAATGTAAAGCGTGAAACAATATTTATCGCATTTATACAATATTATCATGTATGCTGTTTAATTAAAGCTATTTGACTTTAAAATCGGTGTTATTCTAATTTAGGCGTTTACTGTAGATGAAAAACCACCACTCGACGACGAAACTCCAGATACCAAAGTATGAGAGAAATGATCGTAAATACAGAAACAAAAAATACACAAACAAAACATCAATGAGTATTGTATTTAAGACAGTTAACTACTTATTAGCTGAAAAGTCCCAAAGCTTTTGAATTATATTTGGAGTCAGCTAGCTACATTAAATAGAATACGGTCTTGCAATAGAGTAGAACAATCTTGACCAAGCTACCAAGAGAAACCTTTTTGTAATGAGCTAATTTAAGAGATACCACTGCGATGCTAAAAACTATGAAAGGTGTTCTCATCTGCTTGAGGAATTGCCATTTGAAAGTATTTTAGTTTCAATCTTTTAACTACAAAATTATCTCTGTTTTTATCTTTTTGTTGCAAATTCTTCAAACCAAAATATTACGGTTGCATGATGAGCATAATCAATGTTTGGTGCCTATGAAAAAGCAATATAGCCAATTTCAAATATTATATTGATTTATTCTACACCTCAACGTTTATACATATCATAAGAGGAAATTTGTTATAATCCATTGTCAGCATTAATCGAAACATTATTTCGCCTCTACTATGACATTGGGAAAATGCACACAATGAACATCGACGTCATCGTTTTACTGAAAAAACTCTATGAGTTACTTTTTTATCTTATAAATATTGTAAATTTTAACAATAATAAATATAGTACACATGTGTAAGTTGATTCACTGATAGGCGGAGGTACACAGTATTCGAATTTGAGAGGAACAGATTATGCCACTTTCGGCAAGTATGAAGAGCCACGCATATCCAGCATTTAACGTTCTGGGATCAATTCTATGATACTATCTAAACAAGAATATTCACAAAAATCGCAAACATTTATGTTGGGGAAAATTAGGAATGATTAGAAATCGATACACAACACATGGAAGCGAGGATGTATTTCATGACCTATCAGCACTCAATTATTATTCCTATTATAAAGAATTAAACTACGTCCATTCTGCATGGATACATTACATTAGTTAGAATTCGAGCTTGTGAACAAAAGAGTGGGAATATCGTCAGCATGCATTTAATGCTACGGCAATGGACTAGTTTATGAGCTGATCCAGTGGCGTAGCATCCACCCCCGCAACCCCCGCGCGGGCCCACAGCGCAAAGGGGCCCAAGCGGTTAGAATTTCGAAATTTAAGCCGCAAAACCATAAGCTGCATTGCAAAATCAGTAATGCACATCTTATAAAGTTAATGTTAGTTCAGCTCAGATCGTTTTGTTACGTAACAATGCCAGGGAGTCGTCGATTTTCGGCGTCTTGTGGTTTGATCGCACCGGCAAAATTACGAAGGCTGTCAGAATGATGTCGAAAGCAAAACCTCTCAGTGGCGCACAGAAACGCAGAAAAGGAAGCACGTATGAAAAAAAAAGTAATCAAGATAAACGGCAAATTTTAGGTCACCATTGCCTTTTAATAGCGACATGTTATGCTTTTTGACGAAATAAAAAAAAGCGTTGTTTTAGCTTATGTCCGAGAGTGTTTAGGGTCATTTCCAAGAAATATTTTTGCGGGGGGGGGGTCCACGAGAGTCTTGCTACGCCACTGAGCTGATCTATATATATATATATATAAGCTTACGGGGCAAAATATTAGCTGTCTGGTACTGCTTAAGGCGTATTTTTAATATCTATCATGTTCATTTTGCCACATTCTGGAAATCCAAAAAAGGGCAAGATAACTAATACGTGAAAAACCTGGTCCAAAGAACGGATCTCTTTCCTTGACACCAACGTACAATTTCATTTGAAGCAAGAGTCTCAAGATGTCAGCGACAGCGATTTATGTTTTATCTTTCTTACCCCAACATTGTACAGAACGTTCCATTTACCAAAACGACGCTGATTTTGTACTGATAGAACACTTAGATTCTATGTGTACCAAGCAACTTTAAAAATAATTGCTACCCGGAAAATGTGGCTGATCTATCAAAGCGACTCGGATATTTCTCCGGCGCAAAAAAGCTTCCGCATTTGAAGTGTTGGCCGAATCGTTACTTATACTCAAACAAATAGTGATGTAAGTTTCGAATCTGATTATACTTAGCATAACAATATACTATCGTTAATTTTCGTCAAATTTGAAATACCTAAAGGATAGATTGTTACTATATAATATTAATGAACTAGCCTACTGTTGGAAGCAAATATATATATATATATATAAAATTCATCAAATACCCGATACATTATGACTGAAAAATTTATTTTCTGTTACTAGACCGAAACTCAGTTTTTTTTTATTAAAAAATTCCATTTTGCAAACAATGCTGGATGTAGAGTAATCGTTTTCTTCTAAAATTGATCTTTAAAATTCATTCTGATGATAAGCGCTAGATTCACTGTCGTTTGCGACACGATTTTAAAAGAAGCAATGATTACGCGGGAAATATCACAGACCTATGTTGTTAATAAAGAATATTGTAATGATGTTGTTATTATAATGATATTATATTGGTACGTTAAAGAAGCGTTTATATTATGAATTGTTTGTACAACTTCATAACATTTCAAGTAGTGGAACAACATTGAGCGAAATCACTAGTTCCCACAAAACTGTGACCATATGAAATATACCAACCCCCAGAGTGTTACGAAATGGAAAAACCTGCAAACACAAAAATAAAAACACACCTTTGTTCGATGTTGAGTCTGATGACGACCGTATAAATAAGCACTAAGTAACCAGGTAACGAAGATAACGTGCAATTCTAAAACGGAGTTGCGTGGATATATCTTCTCGGAATCAGCCGATGATTGGAAAATCTACTCCAGTGGAAAATATGCCATGGCTGTGATTCCGCACACTAGCCTAAGATAATGTATATTAACAAATCAGGCCAAATAACCCCCGTTCTCATTTGGAGGGAATTTCCGCAAAATTTACTCTCTAATGAAAATTTCAGTATGGGTCATACAATAAACATTAGACAAGTAAAATGAAGGCGAAATCGACAGACCTCCAGGAGCACAACAAAGAAAAAAAAATATATAAAATGTAATAGCTTTTTGGAAAACGATCTCATCTGTCAGTATTTAAAGATTTAAACCAGCAGCGAAAAAAGAGAAGAGTTTCATTAAACAACCAAAAATTACTAAAACAAGCTGGACATGCCTTTTTTCAACAACTGAAATATTTTAGTAGTCATTGATGGTTTGAACTTTATTTTGAATTGTCAGGCATTTAATAGTTTCTAAATCACATACAGATTAAACTACCCCTTTCTCAAATAAATTCCAAGTCAGTGAAGTGATATAATCAAACTATCCATAGTCAGATATACCCTACTACACATGAAGACGAATGAGCAAGAGCAAACAAATACTGTGAAGTACGTGACTTAGGCTTCATTGTTAGATATAATGTTCGTCCACATGTTTGAAATATTGCCCGGCTCAAAGGAGGATTCTTATTCTCGACACAAACTGCTACGCTTTTAAAGTGGAGCAATTTTAAGTATCATACTTTATCACCCGCTTGGTGCTCTAATTTTACGCTCGGTTGGAAACATGACGGTTGTAGTTCGCACCTAACCCCAGCCATTATCGATTTGCCTAAAATTAGAAATGCACTTTCTATTTCATCATAATTACTAGGATTTCGATCTTTTAGGCACGTAACAATATTTTATTCAAAAATAGCTCAGACAGGCGTTACTTGTTTAGTCTGCTGTAGCCAGAATTACGCAAATTATTTTGCATAAAAAAGCATAGAACGCCCAATTAGTGATGAACATTTGTCACAGTCTGAAGATGTTGCTACTGTGGTTGTAGATCAGGGGTCGACAAACTTTTGTCGTTCGCAGGCCAAAATTAAAGGTTGCAAGGCATTGGCGGGCCGCACATATTTTTAGAAAGTTAAAAACCGAAGGAATGGCCAATGAATCACATTTTTTTTAACAAATTTCTGTTAAATTTCAAGCAGTGCGCGAAGACTGATCATTTGAATATTTTCTGCGCCATTAAACCATTTTAACTCAGCATCAACTTTTTTACGTTCTGTTGCCATTTGTCTAATTACAATCAATTTATAGGCCCATTAAACGAGTGATTGTTAATTATATACTATGTTAGATTATAATATAAGTTAGTGTCTCGAAACAAATTCTGTTACGTAAAGAATATAATCGCCAATACAGTTGTTTTGTTAATATAATTCAGTGAACCGTTGCGGGCCGGATTATAATGTTCCGCGAGCATCATCTGGCCCGCGGGCCGTAGTTTGCCGACGCCTGTTGTAGATGAATCAGAAGACTCAAGGATTCCGGATTGGTTGTTCATTGTACGGCAACTCCGATATCAAACTCAGCATGAACAGAGGACACAACAAAACGCAACCGACCTCCAGACCCTAATATTAAAGAGTAACACATATAGTTTTGAGTAATGCTAAAATTTTTGTGAAGTATAAATATATATTTCAAAGACACCAGGATGCAGGAATTAAATGAGGAAACTTCGGGGGAAAGAACTTAAGATTTTATGTATAGGAAACAGGTAAATTGCGTAATATTTTCCTGATTGCGTGTTTTCAGGATAAAACGAAATTGAGGGCTCAAATAGAAAAATGAATCATCCGTTTTACATTGCAAATAGCCGACTGTATTTAGGTCATACATGATTCGGCGACGCATTTATTATTTATTTTGTATTTGTATGACGACAGAGCTTATGCTTCATCTCAGAACCCCTAATGGTCGTGAACTCCAACGACGACACGCTTAAAGTTAGTAGATTCTGATAAAGTAATCGCTGTAGTGAGTGACTCATTTTGTACTAGACCATTAAATTTGTCAAACCTTTTTTTTCGAAATATATGGCTTAACCCCATATCCTGCAATTTTTTGCAAAATCGCAGTCCAAATAAAAGCATTTTCAACAGTATGCTCAAAATTCTTATTTGTATCACCTAGGCCTACTTTCATTATGATTGTCTTTTGACTAACATGGATTTAATCATCACCGTGAAAACGTGTTTCTCACGTTAATTATTCATCAATATATAAATCCGGTTCAAAATGATGACTCCACAATATAGCTCGTTTGTATCAAGTTCAATTCAATTTGTTTCAATTTGAATCACGCCTTTCATGACATCATTTATGCAGTCCGATAATTTTCATGTAAAATCATCGAAGGAAAGAACTCCATATGCGTACTCAAATGGGACGATAATTGTACAAAATATTTTGTTTGTATGCCGGTACCCAAAACTTAATCCGAAGCATACACAGATATTCATTACTAATATTCTGATACAATATTTGCAAACAAATAATAATATCGTTGACTCTCACCTTTCTAACGACAGTGAAAACATTTATCCCGTCAGAGTGCAGACTATAAAAAAGTATTTGAAAGTATTTATAAGCTGAAAATAATATATATATTCCATTATTTATATAGCTTATTACAAAATTTTGAATGTGAAAAAGATATTAGATGGTTAGGATCTGGAGCGAATAAAATTTCTGGCAACTCCGTCTTCATATGTTATAGTAAGCTTGGCTCAACCAAAATGTCACGGTTTCGTGGATCCAAGCTCTGACTTCAACCTTGGTTTATTATCAAAGCGTTTTTGTTGAGAATAATAATAATGCACGCTTATAGATTTAAAATTGATCAAAGCTCCGTAATGTTCAACAGGATCAATTTGGTAATA